AGAATTGATTTTTACTTTCACCTCATACAATAGACAGTGTATTATATAATTATGATGTCATAAGGTCGTGTTTACATTATATCCCTACTAATATTATAAATGCGAAATTAACTCTGTTTGTCTGCCTGTTTGTTACGCTTTCAAGCCTTAACCACCCAACTGATTTTAATAGAATTTGGTACAGAAATAGAGTTGACCTTGAGAAAGAACATAGGATAGTTTTTATTCCAGACTTTTGAAAAGTTCTCTTGGAAACGCGATATAACCGAACGAGAGCTAGTTGATTATAAAGATTGAGTACATGAGAAAATTATTCAATATATGAAATATAATGCATTTTTAATATAATATTTGATTGTACGTATAGTATATATGGGTGTTAATAAAATTTTGATTGTTTTAAACTCGTTTCCCAGCGATGCATCAGCCTTGACCAATTTGCTTGTTCTCTGCGGTATTTCTTCTGAACGTGAGATGGGTTTTGTGATTTGCGAATGTTGTCTGTTACTTGAGCTATCCTACTTCGTTAATAATTGTACTTTTTCAAGCTTCTTGTAAATGATAAGAGGCTGTTAAGATTCGTGAATACCATTCTTGGTTAGAGGATATACTGTTTTATCTAAATCTAAGTAATGCCTCTGTTACCACATAAAAATAAATGTTTTTTTTTTGTAGCTACACTACTATAATTAGTAAATACATAATCATATTTTATTATTAATTTCAGATCGCCAATAATTTATTTTTAATATTAAATTACTGAATCGCTTTGTATTTGAATAATATCTTATTCAGAGAAACATATTTTTGTTGTCAAAAAATAATCTCTGTTTTTAAATAACTTTATCAGTATATTTATAAATAAATGATTACTATATCTAACAAATATTTTACACTAACTTTGACAGGGAAATATCAAATAATTAAAACTATAACAGTATAGTACTTTTGCTAATATTATAAGCAAATTGTCTCAATCTCTCTAGGGTTTTAAAAATTGGTTGTGCCGGCGCTCCGCCTTAAACGGTTTCTATGAGTCATTGGAATGCCTTCATAATAATCACCTGCGGATCGCTAAAACTATTCGCTTTACAACAACGAAAATACTAAGAATACGTTGTACATTGAAGGTTAACTAACAGCGTTATTATTAAACTACTAGCAAACAAGACATGTATCGCTCTTGTTAATTTTGTACGTAATGATTCATACGATTTGTCACAGTCGAGTAAAAGTTAACGTGACGTTTCTTGATACAACTATTATTATTCTTCGTACATAGATCATTTTGAGTGATACTAAAATTTATCAATATGCTTATCAGTTCTTGTTATATGTAGTCATCCCGTTACTGAATTACTCATAGGAGGATAATAATCAAATTATTTTTTATATCCCTTGATGAAAAGCCTAGCTAGCCTTGTGTTCAGCCCTGATTAACTTGGCGTACAGTGAGGTTGTGTGTACCATAAAGATACCATCACTTGATTATAAAACTGTGACCATTGGTATTGTAACGGCAGGAAGTAACACAGGAAATCGTCTGTGCGTAGAGCGCGTGCCTCGAAAACAAGCCTAGCTCGTATCAAACAGGCCTATATATATACATGTCTCACAAATAATTACTATAAAAAATCATTAGAAATATTACAAAATATTCCTATATTATATATACAGTTACCTTTATTTAATGATCTAAGATTTTCGCGAGTACTCATTTAGAGAAACTAATATTTTCGGATTTATTACGCGATTTATTTTTGACTATAAAATACATACTCCCGACGTTTGGGCTACTTTACAGCAACCGTGATCACGGACAGACGAGATTTGAGTGTTTGTCAGTTGGTAGTAAATCCGAAAATATAAGTTTCATTTATATGCCTATATATTTAGACTAATTGTAGTGTAGTTTTCGATTGCCAAAACTACTTGTTACCACTAAATACTAATACCAGAAGTGTTCAATTAACTTAATATGTATACCTAATTTAGTCTATCAATAACTATTTTGGTTGAAGAATTTTCCCCCTATTAATTTGTCCTTAGTTGGTTTCTCTAGAGGCAGTCACAAATTGAAACCCTGAAATATATAGAAAAAACTAAGTAATTAAAAAGTGTGCTTGTTTCTTACAAGCACATATTTGTTAATTTTCATTCCATTTGTTTTGTTATTAAATTTGAATTCTTTAATACATTAACGTAATTCTTAACAAATATGTAATTATTGATGTCATTTAGATATAATTTAGCATTTTGTATTCATATTATATTTCGTATATTCTAAGAAGTAATGCAAATTAATAGAAAAATATATGCAGAGCAATCGAACGAATAAAGCCGGGTACGTATTATGCACGCTATAAAATGATGTCATTTGGCAACGAAAGCTATTGTGACATCATATTACCCACACTGACCTCCGTTCATGATAATTGTAACAAAGCACACTGATTCCTTTACAAAATCAGAGTTATTTGGTTAAAATTACAATTTTATTTACGCTCAATAGTTTCGAAGATAAATAACAAACAGATATACAGTTATGTATTTTAATATCTGAACGTTGACAGACATACAAATAGTCGATGTTAGGAAGGAAGATGTGTAAGTAATTATGAATGCAAACGAATTCTCAGTTTTACCTAACGTATGTACCTTTTTTTATACGGTCATATATAATTAATTGGAATTCGAGATAACAATCACTCATCAACAAATAAATATCGAAAGTCTGTTACAGAAATTATTGGTCTGAATACCTAAGTCCTCGTCGTTACTATATAAGAAGCTCTTCCCGTTTATATAATAGCTAATACTATGTTCGAAAATGTATAAATAGAAAAACTGTTAACGCTACGTATGTAGTGTGAATGCAAACTCAGACTAAGCGCACTTTATTTATTCGATGGTCTAACTGACTCGGCGTTGATTGAACAGTGCTGCGATGTGTCATACGAATGAATGAGGCATTATTTCATTGTCTAATTAACATGTCGAGAAACTGGTTCTCTTATCATTTATATAAACTATACTAAAATTATTTAGCGGAAGATTAAATTTGTTTTACTTTGAACTCCCTAATCTCAGTAACTACCTGACCGATTTTAAGAATTCCATTCATTGTTATATAGCTTTTTTGTCGAGGAAGGCTTATACAGGCTGTTCCAAAGAACAATGCATATCAATACAGTTAAAAAGGTACTTAAGTACGTGTGCTTATTGTAATACTACAGGATGAATGTATATTTTAATAGTATAAAACATAGTCCCAGTACTTTGAACAATATTCAGCTCTTATTAATAAAATTATCATTTACCTAAAACATTTTATAAGCATATTATATTATGATGTATCGTTGTACGTTGTAGAAACTAAAAGTTCTATTTCTCTGAAATGTCTCATAAATGTTAAATTGAATCCATTCTATAGTTTATTGATGCCTTGGTATGTATAAACTTCAACAAATAGACAAAGAGGAATTCATCCACAACTTTGTTTCAAAGACGTCAGAAGCATGAAGCAATGAGCTTCTATATGTGGAATGTTTTTAAAACAATTGTTGTACAATGTTGGTAACACTGAAAATAGATACAGAATCCGATGTTACTGGTTCGCACCATAACGGTATAAAACCGGTCCGTCGCTCTGGTGGTTATGTTGGTACACCACGCGATCTCGCTACACTATCAATACTTTTTGTTCATAATCTATGACACTATAATTCTTGCTTCATAATTGCCTCATAATATATAGACACTGATTCAATATTTTTGTTTAAAAATGTTAATTAGTTGATAACGTACAGTACACTCGAGCTAATAGCTGTACTCATTAAGATACATTTCTGTTTACAAATAAAATAATACCGGTTTGATTGAAATATTTAAAGCGTTTCGCAGAATAATACTGCTTATTATTAAACTGTGTCACATATAAAATATCCCACGTTTTCCCTTGTCGAATATGATACTGTGCTAAATAACTTTATAGTATGACTCATATTATTTATATGATTTTTACTTTTGTTCTCATAAACGCAATGTGATTAAGTAATTCGTGAAGAAATTGAGATAACCTGAATCGAAAGTCGGTTTATTTTGTTTTAAAGCATCGGTATGAATCAGAATATTTAAGTAATACATAAAGGTAAAAAATAATTTGTTACGCAAAACGTTTTATTTATATGTTTAGTTTGTATAAAAAAATGTAGTATTTATTTTAAACTTACAAACTGATATCTTAGAAAGTTTTGTGTAGCGTATTATACTAGCTTTCCGCCCGCAGCTTCGCCCGTTCGGTTATATCGCGTTTCCAAGAGAACCTTTCAAAAGTCTGGGATAAAAACTATCCTATGTTCTTTCTAAAAGTAAACTTCATCTCTGTACCAAATTTCATTAAAATCTGTTCAGTGGTTTAGGCGTGAAAAAGTAACAGACAGACATTTCGCATTTATAATATTAGAAGGGATTATCGGAATTACATACGTGAACTCGTATGTTAATAAAATATTTCCGATCATATAGAATTCGCAATTAAATTATTTTATTACTAACGGAATTTTCGACGTGCCTAAATACTTTCAACCGTATAAGAAATACCGTATTTTGTTTATATCGATCATTATATAAACTGTTTGACGCGCCATCCGTGTGTCATTGACAGAATGAAAGTAGACCAAATATTTACAAGGGTTTCTCAGAAGGCTGTTATTACTAAATATGATATACATAAAAGAACTGTCTTTGTTTATTTTTAAGCTAATTGCACATAGAATTGATACATTATCATCGGTTATAAGTATGTTATATTTTTACGAACTCTGATGCTCATTTAAAGAAGAGAACGATTTCGATAATTTAATAGTATCAGTGCGTAATAGATATTAATTTTAAATAAGCGTTTTCTACATTTTTGAGATATTCAATCATCTCAGCTTATAAGTATCTTAAGCGCAAACTTGCACTATATAAATTAATTACCTATTTCTTGTCCACAGACAGTCCAACATGGATTCCCTCACAGAGCGTCTGCACTAGCCTGGGACCCGTTACTCCGCCTGGCAGCCCTGGGTACAGCGACGGGAGCATTGAAAGTATACGGAAGACCTGGAGTTGAGCTCTACGGACAGCACACCAATCCAGAAGTTGTTGTCACCCAAATACATTTCATACCAGGTACTTTATATATTATATAACTCCTTTTATATACGATAAGCCGATCACATGCTTGACATCCAATTACAAGTTTAACATATGTACAGAAGCCGTTTAATCATTGCGTGAATAAAGTTTTTAGAAGAGTTCGATATATTGAAAATTAATGGGACTTTAATGAATGACAAGTCATAGCAACCATGTTCCAAACTTGGGTCCTTTTAATGTAATAGCAAAATTATTGGCATCAATATTTTCTGGCTATTAATCATATAATATTACTTTTTGAAATTTTTGGTGTTTTTTCTATCTGAAGTATCTAAATCCTGATTACTTTGCTAGCCAGGATGTTGCCCAAAGCCAAATATATTAATTTATTTTCACTCCATTCTAACATGCTTTATTAAGGAAACAGCTCTTTAAATGACGTCATCTGAATAATATGTCTTTCATAATTTTAATAATAAAACTTCAAATTAAAGTAATGTTTTCTGTTTAATACAACCAACCGTGATCACGGTTGCTGCAAAGTAACCGAAAGTTCGAGAGTATGTAGTGTATACAATATATTGTATTGGTAACCCTTTTTTAAAAAAAATGAATATTCGTTAAAGTCTTAGATCTCATTAATAAAATTTTATTCTAAGAATACCATTGAGAGCTTGTCATTAAGGTTCGAAACTATAGAAATAAACATACACCTAGTAAATAAAAGGCCCTTATGAATAATTATATCATACAAATATTAATTATATGAAATAGAAAGGTCAACTTAGTTTTCGATAAAATGCAATCTAAACCAACTGGCAAGTAACAGCTTTCTATTGAAGTCAATGTATGAAATAGACATCTCAACTAGAATTTAATTACGTCCGAAACGGTACTAGAACAATTACGTTGAAATAGTATAATAAATTAAACATACATACAAATTTTCATTAATAAATCTTCACACGTATTGAAATAGTAATATAAATAATAACTTAAAAGTATTTGCGTAGTCTGACCATAAAAACTATTAGTAAGCACATTTATTAGGGTTTGTAAACGAGTTATATAATTATTAGCGTGAACGAAATAAACCAATGAAAACAAAAATGTTTGACACACAATAAACGATATAACTTAATTGCTAAACTTGTAACATTAGTAACTAAATATAAATTGATTTCACAATAATTCTAAGAATAATATTGAATTTACCAAAATAGATTGAAACGAACATAAAACAGGGAATGACTAATAATGAAACAGCAACAACATTTTTATTGCTATTTGTATTTAAAGTTGTGTTTTTAAGTGAATAATTTAAAATAAATACGTTTGTTAAGTACCATAAATAAAATGGTGGTATTTATCTATAAAATAAGCTGCTATGAAATCCTCAGATAGAAACATTATTGAATCAGTGACCTAGTGGTTAAAAGGCCCGCCTCTCATGCATGAGGGCGTGGGTTCGATCCTGGCAAGTACCAATGTGATTTTTCCGAGTCATATGTACTTTCTAAGAGTATTTAGACATCACTGATTAATGCATTAGCAAAAGCGAGTTGATGCCAGGCAGGCGACCGGTCGTAAAAACATTTAGCCAAAACTATTCACAACATGTAAGGCAGACCCTGGCTAAAGCTGGGAAATTGCCAGGTAGAAGAAGATAAAATTATAGAGAAATAAGTATATTATAATAATTATTAGCAAACCATTGGACCGGAACATTATATCATATTATTGTTGTAACCGCACCTACCGTTAAGGATACGCTTGGTTTGTCGATCATGTCCAACTGGAGTATCGATGATAATAAATGACTTGTCACACTACTTTGAAACGGTCATTGTTACTATTATATAATACTAGGTTTTGCTCGCGGATTTATCCGCCTGTACTACTGAATTGATCAGAAAAAGTAAGCTCAAAAATTTATTAAACAACAAACAGCGCCACCTATCGTCAGCGGTAGGTGATTTCATTCCGAATTAAACTGAAAATTTTGGTAAAAAATTATTCGTTGCCATACTACATATGTAGTATTGACATGTAATATACGTAACTGGAAAGTATCGCTAAGAAAAGTTCAATACTATTATCGTGAAAACAAACATTGAACTACTTTCTCGTTTATAATGTCCGTTAGAAATCGAAATTAAAATGTATTTAATGTCATTTCAGGAACGGGTCGGCTCATATCACTCTGCGATGACAACAGTCTTCATTTGTGGGAGATAAACGAGAAATCTTTAGTGGAACTCAAATCACATTCCTTCGAAGGAAAAAATAAGAAAATATCATCAATATGCGTCGAATCTTCTGGAAACAACCTCCTACTCGGTACAGAAGGCGGCAATATATACTCCTTGGACTGCAACGCTTTCACAATACACGAAGACGTTATTTATCAGGACACTGTTATGCAGAAGTGAGTAATAAATATTAAATATATTAAAAAAATAATATAATTTAAAGTCGCATATGATATAGAATTACATTAATTTTAATATATTATTACATTTATATACACACAACTTGATTAACAAGTATTCGAAGTCGTACAATTTTAATATTTTTTCCTCTTGAAACTTTAGGTATTATATTGCGCTAAGCTAATTCCATTTATAAACCAATGTCAGGTATCAAAAAATAAATTTTGTAATGAATTTCCAGCAGTTTTTAAACGAATGCTATACAAATTTTACAGCTGTCCAGAAGACTTTAAGGTGAATCCAGGTGCAGTGGAATCTATATGTGAACACCCCAAGACTCCAAGTCGAATACTAATAGGATACAATCGAGGTCTTGTAGTGTTATGGGACAGAGCGACCTCAGCGCCCTCACACACCTTCGTTAGCAACCAACAGCTGGAGAGCTTGTGCTGGAATGATGATGGTGATTATTATTACCAGAATTAAATACCATACAATATTTCGTCTTTCTTATTTGCTTTATCAGCTCATAATAACAAGATAACTCAGTATATTTTAATTACATACATAAAAAATATGTATTACATAGTATAATATAGTCATGTAATCTATTATATTATTAAATAATTATAATCTCACTAAATTGTATAAGATTTAACAACGACTATCTAAGAATAATTTTCTTAATGAACCATATAAGACTTGACAAAGTTTGTGTTTAATATTAACCATTTCACTTCGGTAATTGTCTTGCCTTTATTTTTAATATTTTGATACTAAGACAGAATATACACGTTTCATTATAAAACTACTTTTTTATATCTACATTTTATGATGAAAATCACATTTAAGTCTTATTTCAATACATATATGTTCCAGGAGAACACTTCACGTCATCTCACAACGACGGGTCGTATGTGACGTGGGAGGTGGCGGGTGCGGCCAGTGACCGCCCGCTTAAGGAGCCCGTCACTCCATACGGACCTTACCCGTGTAAAGCCATCTCCAAGATACTTAACAGAACCAGCGTGAGCGGAGACGAGCTTATTATATTTGCAGGTAACCTAAAATCTATGATTGCTAGCTAACTAGCTGTGCCCCGCGGTGTTACCGTGATTTCCGGGATGTAAAGTAGCCTATGTGCTATTCCTGGACGTCAGCTTCCTGTATACAAAATTTTATCAAAATCGGTTCAGCCGTTTGAGCGTGAAGAAGTAACAAACATACACACACTCACAAACTTTCGCAATTATAATATTAGCAGGATTTACATCTTCATATAGCATATATGATGCTAACAAAACAGCACTTATTATTTACATGATATTTAAGTTTTTTTTGTACATGAGTTTCATGTCTACATGTGATATATAATATATTTCGCTGACTAAACATTACTTTTTATTTACATCCACTCTTATTTGTTTATATTTAAATACAGTATTTCTAGTTAGTATTGAAATTATTTTGACGTATAACAATTAAAGCTAGCTAATTTTTAATAACTAATTTATACATACTATGTATTATGAATTATTCTGTTTACTAAAGTTTATATAATCATTTTATTAATATTTTTCTGTTTCAGGTGGTATGCCAAGAGCTTCATATTCGGACAAATACACAGTGACTGTTCAGCAAGGAGAAAAACACGTCGCTTTCGACTTTACCAGCCGTGTACGTAGACTTAATACTGTGTATAGTAAAATTTACTATAATAAATAAATGTATATCGTCGGAGGCAGTTCAAATCAAAGCAGATTATTAGTAATAAATTAAACATCGAATAATTACTAATTGTGAAAAAATTACCTTAAAAGTCGTTAATTTACAAAATATTTCAGCTCAAACTTTCTTCTGATATTTTCGTCCAATGTAGATACGGGGAATTATCCATTGGTAGCTAAGCGGATTTGCACTATACCCGACGATATATTTTAAGCAGTAACCAATCAAATAAGGTTATGACCTACATATATGATGGTTATAGATAACAAATTACTCTTTTATACAGGATATAATATAAATAAAATAACTTGCGTTTGAGAATCTAAAGAAAATTTATAAACAAAATTCTGACATAAACTTAAAACTAAATCCATATTTATAATATACCGTACAAAGGAACAATTAATATTAAACCCTAAAAATACTTCATAATACAAGTAATATTATACATTAATATAAAGCCAATTTTGTTCAGGTGATCGACTTCTTTACAACTACCCCCGTGCCTCCAGACGGCGTCCCTCTACAAGAGGAGCGCCCTACACTACCCGCTGTCATACAAGTACAGACTGTCAATCAAGTTGCCGCTACCCTGGTCAGTATATCGTGGAATATGTTTTATAAACGACAAAAGATTCTTTTATATATATGTATATCATGTTGGTAGGGCAGTGTATAGCTTTTAACAAAGAATAGAACAAACAAATCGACACACGTACCGGAATATGTTGCGTAGTACTTTTATTTTATGTTTTGTTTAAAAGAAACTTTTGGAAGGTTTGCACTATTATTGTAATTTATTTTTGAGTATCATTTAAAAGCAAAATTTCGTTCCGTCTAATCCAATATGGGCTTCGCGATAAATGGTGAAAATTATGTAGAATATACATGAAAATATCTTTGGATTATCATCACTGATTAATGCTGATTCCCAAAAGAGGGTTGATGTCAGGCAGGCGGCCAGTCGTAAAAAACAAATAGAAAAAACTATTCACAACATGTAAGGCAGACCCTGGCTATAGCCGGGATTTGCCAGGTAGACGAATATTCATACTGAATATCTTGAAGAACATATCAACTTTACCACTTTCTATGTGATTGTAATTTACTATTTTTTTAAGAGTAGTAAAATTTACTGATTCGTGTCTGTTTGAAATGAATCGATGTCCACGATACAGGCCTAGCGTAGTGTGGACGTGAACGTTATATTGTATATTGCATTTTAAAGTTTTTACAAATGCATAAATGAAATAAATAAATAGATAAATATTAGTATAACCCTACGTAATTTTCGATATATTCAAACAAGACTAATTTTAAATGTATGTCACAGGTGGTGTTAGCTGAAGAAGAACTAGTTGTTATAGACCTGTGTGATGAGAGATGGCGTCCACTGAGGTTGCCCTACCTGGTTTCGGTACACGCGTCAGCCATCACCACCGCGCACCTCGTAGACAACGTCGCTGATAATGTTTACGATAACATCGTGCAAGCTGGTATATACTTTATTAAATATTTCTTATATATTTTCTTACCATTGAGAAACAAACAAATAGACTGATCATAATTGATTCTATGTAACATAATGTGAGTGATTGATACTTTGTGCGTCTTAAAATACTTCAACTATATATATTATATAACAAATATAATACTCAATTCACGAATTCGAGTATAACACGACAGCTTAATCGCCAAAAAGACTGGAACATATATCCTTCTGAATTTCTGGTCTTGTAAAGTTATAATTATATCTAACATAAAGTTCAGTAATGATCATAAATTTCGTCTTATATATTCTTCAATAGAACCATAGCTACAGATATACTATATACAGCTACAGATAGACAATAGTCAATCTATTCTCTTAAATACAGCACATAACTTTCAAAATAAGTTCCAAGCTTGATTAATTTTAGTTAATATAAGATTCATTATCCACAGGCCAGCAACAAACAGAAAACATTTACTCCGAGAGCCAGTGGCCTATATCCGGTGGGATAGTAGAAACAGTCGAACAGACAGACAAACAGATCCTTCTCACAGGCCACGAAGACGGCTCGGTCCGCTTCTGGGACGTGACCGGCGTCGTTATGACGCCTCTATATAAATACACAACCGCCCCACTCTTCAGGTGATTAAAAAATCTACTACATACATGAAATACATTTGAAACAAGAAACTATTACGCAACGTTCGGGTAAAACAAATAAATAGCCATCAATATTAAGTACAAATATATGACCATAAGTTAAAAAAGTTCTGTTAATACGATAATGAGTAAGAAGCATGTTAAATTGACAACAAATTCATCTTTAACTATCATATTACATGAAGAATTTAATATCACAGTATAATTTTATTTCAAGCATTAGTTATTAAGACATCCGTGAATCAATCAGGCTAGCGTACGGCTTGAATTATTAGCTAATCGTATCATCTTTTGCTTATTGCTTACTATATTTGAAGCGGGCTGAAAAGGTCGACTGCGAGGTAAAATATAATTTGAATTTTATTATTTATGATGGCGTAGTATCATTGTAGTTATATGCATGGTAAGCAACTACTCCATGAACAAACATACTCCCAACATATTATATATATAAATTATACTTAGTGTGAGTAATATAATGTAGACCAAAACTAGCATATGAAGAAAAGTTAAAATCAGTAATGCGAATGAATTGATATTATTATATTATGTATACAATATTTTTTGGTCATATACTTATTTTATTTTTATTTTGTAGCGGCGAAGAAATAGGTGAAAATAATGATAGTCAAAACGACGAGGAAGAGTGGCCGCCGTTCAGAAGAGTCGGGACGTTTGATCCGTATAGTGACGACCCGCGACTGGCTGTGAAAAGAGTTAGTTATATTACACACTATAATAATATAATAGACGAAAAATATTTACAATATTAAGCGATAATATCCATTATTTGGTTAGACCACTAGCTAAAACAAGATACAAATTAGTTTCACATACCTTCACTCTTAACTATATTTAGAAGATAAAACAATATATAAGTTATTATAATGAACATGCGAACTAACGATGTCTATGAATATTATTTATAATTGTTTTATATATTTGTAGGTCCTGCTTTGTCCATTGTCTGGTATGCTAACAATCGGGGGTGCTGCGGGGCATATCGTTATAGCGAGTTTAAAATCCACACCTAGCACGGCGGAAGTCAAAGTAAGTTATAACTATATTATAAACAAAAAAATAATCTATTTTGTAATAAAATATTTAATTGTACCAATTTTATTTCAGTCTGTATCCGTGAACATCGTGTCTGATAGAGACGGTTTTGTATGGAAGGGTCACGATCAATTAAACCTTCGTTCCGGACCGCTCACCTTCCCCGCCGGCTATCAAGTATGTTGAATATAGAATTCTGATACACAACATTCTTAAATCTCAATATACAAATCAAAACTGCTTCCATTATTTGATACAGGCGATCACCACAGACTATAAATAATGCTGTATAACAGCATAATAACGTATGTATATGTAATATATTATTGTATCATTCCAGGCTAGCGCAATATGCCAGTTGTCTCCTCCAGCCGCGGTGACCGCTCTGTCCGCGCAGTGGGAGTGGGGCGTGGTGGTAGCGGGCACGGCGCACGGACTAGCGCTCATCGACGCGCTCAAACCCGCGCCTCTCACACACAAGTGCACTCTGAACGCACACGGTAAACACACACACACACACACACACACGGTCTCTTAGACATTAATACAACTTACTCACACACATACATACGTTGTATTCCTATTTCAAAATAAATTCAATTTATTATGTATAGTACCTTCATCTTTAATAGCGTCGCTGTTGTGATGTAAACGGTACTCTTAAAGCAGTTTAATTAGTACACTTGTGGAGAGTGTGCTTGTTTAAAATTAAGTGCCCTTACGATTTTACAACGTAAATGTTCGCACACGACATTATCGACGGTATTGTGTGAAAAAACTCCTTCTAAAGGTACAGACAGATATTTGTACTTAATTATGAAGAAACAAAAAATAATACATTAAATATCGTTACAATACCGCAATTCTCATTATACACATTTGTTAACAAACAAGTTACAAAATTGTATAATATTTGTGAAATTGCTAGTAATCATAAAATGCCATCTTTAAGATTATTCTCTGATCACACCATATGAAACAAATAATTTCATTCTAGGATTTTGTTATAACGTATATAACTAATTTCCCTCTAGAAAACCACATTAAAACATATTTTATGGCATGAATAAGTATGATAATAATAAAATATCTTCTTAACAGGCTCCTCCGGGGCGGGTGATACTCCTATTTCTAGAAGAAAATCATTCAAGAAATCACTAAGAGAATCCTTCCGAAGACTCAGGAAGGGAAGATCCCAGCGACGACAGACGACTACTTCAGCCAGTCCCACATCACCCACACAGGTTAATACGTTACTAAATTAAATGAACACAGATTAACTAAAATTAATGTACAAAGACTAACTAAATTAAATGAACACATATTAACTAAATATAATGTAATCTAACTAACTATAATTAAGATTGAAACAAATATAATTGGCTATTTATATCTTCGGTTACTAAAATACAAGTGACAATTTAAGCAACATTTGGTATCTAACTACAATGTATACTATTATTATGTTTTTATTTTGTAAACTCAAGTCAACAATACTTTACTGAAATTTAAAACAATAGTTTTTTCTTCATCAATTAAATAATTTCTGGATTAGACTAGCTATATGAAAACAAACATACATACAAAAATTACTTAACTACTCACAAGAATGAGTTTATTAATAAAAAATATACATAAAACGTGTCTCATTGAGCAAGCTTAGTTAATATATGTATGAATTATATTCAAATATATTAAAGTTATATAAATGCTTAATATTGACGTATGTATAATTTAAGTTCAAATATATTTTCTCATGTATGTTATATTAAATTTATATATATTTCCAACACAGCCAGCTTCAAAAAAGATAACGGAGAAAATAAATGAAGCGGACGCTGATGTGAAGCCCATCGAGAGAGCAGTTGAAGCGAGGTCCACTGACGACGCGTTCGGGACTATGGTGAGGTGTCTGTACTTCGCTAGGACCTTCCTTGTGAGCAGTGAGTATATACATCGAAAAATAATTATTATAACATATACTAGAACATCATAAAACGTTACGAAAATAAGTTTTTTCTTTTGTATGTAATTTTTTCTGTATAAAGTAGAGCACAAACAAAGATATGTTTTGTTTAAAGATTGTTATATAATTTTTCATCTATCAATAAACTTTTCTTTAATTTCTTACACTACATACTTACTGTAATTATTTTTTACCTACTTACAGCCTTTTATTTACTCTGCATACTAAAGTTAAAAACAATTATTCCTCTTTAATTTGTAGTAAAACAGTAGAATTATACTGTTAAAATACAAATCTTGTCTTAGCATTATAAAATAATTACATTGATAACTAAAGTGTTAAAAATATTATTGCAGCTCAAAACTCAACGCCGACCTTATGGGCCGGCACTAACAACGGCACTGTTTACGCGTTCACGATACACGTACCTAATACAAACAAGAGGAAAGAAGAACCTGTAAGTTTACTTACATACATATTTATATGTATACTAGCTGCGCCCCGCGGTGTTACCCGCGGATTTCCGCGCTGTAAAGTAGCTTATGTGTTATTCCTGGACGTCAGTTTCCTGTATACAAAATTTTATCAAAATCGGTTCAACCGTTTGAGCGTGAAGAAATAACAAACATACACACACTCACAAATTTTCACAATTATAATATTAGTAAGATATATATCATATAACACGTTAAATGAACTCAAAATGTACTTTCCCCATGACAATCTCTTTAGTGTGTTTACATAATACATATAATATTTTAATATAATAATGTATATTTGCAGGTCACATGTCAACTAGCGAAGGAGATACAGTTGAAGCATAGAGCGCCTGTGATAGGGATAACAGTGTTGGATGGAGCGTCCGTACCGCTACCAGACCCCTTGGAGGTAAATATAAAGAAAAACATTTATATGGAAAAAAATTATCCATTACATGCTATAATTATATGGATTTTATCTCTGTACATGTACGAATGTCGCACCTTCACTCATGGATTAAAATATTGCTACAAAACTTTTCAAATCCTAATTTATCTATTATAAAAAAATAAGCTTTATTACTGTAAAGAATCATGGTACTTTGTTTGAAAAAGTGACACACGTCCATAAATACATTATTTGTATCTATAAGATTAGTTTGATTACTAAATACGAGTAGATTTTGTTCTAAAAACGTGTTTAATTCATTAATATCTATTATTCATAATAAAATCCAATGTAAAAATTTCACGAATATAATTTTAATATGTGTACAAGTTTACAAACCTTTAAAGAATATGTTGACGAACATGACACTGTAATCTTACAATAAGTTTCCATCATTACACTACACGCGTTCCCAGTTATTTATTCATCAATCCGTCCTCACACATTATAGTTACCAATATAGGTATATAAAACAAAAACTAAATATGTTCCGTATTAAGTGTAACAATACAAACTTGTAGTTAATTTAAAAGCACTGATAGTTATATCAATTAATATATAATTTTTTAATAGGTGGAGCGTGGCGTGGCTCCTCTGCCAGAGGCCGGGCCTCAGAAGGTCCTCATCACATCCGAGGAGCAGTTCAAAGTGTTCACACTGCCGTCACTAAAGCCGCACAATAAATACAAGCTGACAGCGCACGAGGGCGCCAGGGTATATAAACATTATAATATAACACACACAGATACACCAGTTTTGGTCGAATATGCCGACAGTGAAATGTTGAAATAATAGCTATTGTAAGCAATCGACAGGGATATCTATACTTTATGACTTCCTTCAAAATACTTTTTAGGAAGTGACGATGCTAGGAACACGAAATTCCATAGTAAATCATAGAGTACATTTTAATTTAATGTCTAAACTAGGTCACTATATAGTTTCATCTAAACCGGCTAAATATTTTTACTTGACATGAAAAACCATTATAAACTTACACCTTTATAGTAGTATAAGTACATTAATTCATACTTAGAACTTGCTTTCAAGGCAGTAAACTATTGCTGCCTTGGAGACGAACCTACTAAGGTTCGTCTCAAATTTGTTTACATAGAGGGAGGATCTCGGACAGCAGACGTTTTTTTTTGCGCAGCAGATTTTTTTTTTGTAATGTGTACAGCTGTTAGCCCTGTGGCTTAGATAGGCCTTAAACCTACACCTGAGTCGCAAGTCCCATACACTGTTGAAGTTCCTTTATGTAATGCTCAGAGGTTTCATCAATAATAACGTGTTCCAGGTGCGTCGTACAGCCTTCGCGTGGTTCGAGTGCGGCGGCGGGTCGGAGCGTCACCGCGAGTGGTGCCTGCTGTGTCTCACCAACCTGGGGGACTGTCTCGTACTGTCTCCCGACTTGAGGAGGCAACTCAACGCGGCCGCCGTGCGCAAGGAGGACATTAAGTATGGATATTACTATATTAATATGAATATATATAAAGAGATTTCCACCTATATATTGATTCATCACGATATCTCTGGAACCATAACGCGTAGCGATTTGAAATTTGGTAGAATTATTCCTTTCGCCGACTAGTGGTCAGCTAAGAACTAAGGATTTTACGAAATTCCACCTACAAGGGGGTTGCGGGACGTTAACAATGTAAAGTATGCTTTCACGCCTAAACCACTGAACAGATTTTAATGAAATTTTGTACAGAGATAGAGTTGACCTTGAGAAAGAACATAGGATAGTTTTTATCCCAGACTTTTGAAAGGTTCTCTTGAAAACGCGATATAACCAAACTCCACGCGGGCGAAGCTGCGGGCGGAAAGCTAGTTTAACATATAAGAACATATACTTCATAGAAGAATACTATCAAGATACTTTTTATGTAAAAAAATAATGAGAATATAAAAAATAATTAGTAGGATGAATCCTATTGGCATACTAAATGACCAAAAATTTAATGAAAATTTGTTAGAATTTAGTTTTTATGTAGCAAAATATATTTTGTTGAATTACCTCAACGTCTTCCATTGTCTTCTTTTCCAATGGGTTTCTTCCTACCATATTTTTATTTCAAAAATAATTGGCCATTTTCCTTTTGTTCAATAGTGAAAACTTAATTTAAAATGCGACCAATTAACAAACTCTGGCGCTGTAATATTTTATTACAATCTCGGTTTTCTTTCAATTACAATTTGTTTCGAATCGATTCTCCATACATTGCTTAGTAGTTTGGTAACAAACACACATGCACCAATCATAGTAACATGTTTATTGTTACAGTGGTATTTCCAGTCTTTGCTTCTCTAAGCGAGGCGAGGCTCTCTACTTACACTCTTCGTCCGAGTTACAGAGGATAACGCTCTCCGCCACTAAGGTACATTACAATACTTTAACAATTCTACACGGATCTTGATTTTTATTACAATACTTCAATAATTTCTGACCTTCTGATCCTGACATTTATATTTGGAACTAACTGAGCTGATTTTGACGAAATTTTTGAGTACTTGTATGAATAAAAAGTCTAAAAGAATACGAGCTTAATTTACTTCTAAGCATGCTGCCTATGAAAGTCTCATGAAAATCAGTTAACGTCTTTCGGAGATAAGACAAGTTATACGGTATATAAAAGCGTTGATATTAGATACATTTTTATGTATTTCTAATGTTTTTTATATCTGTAAACAATCCATATTTTTTCTCTACTATGTAAAGTACTTATTTTCTTGTTGTATATAATATCTTATTTTTTTCAGGTGACCATAGCTCAATGCCACGTGTTACTGTCCCCATGGGCAGCCGCTCTACGCGGGCCGGCCGAGGAGGCGCCACTCACTAACGGTGAACACAAAGTGAGTTACTTATATACCATATAAACATATAAACATGTTAAAGTTGCATAGAAATCTGTTCAGTAATTTACGCATTAACATTTCACTCGATAAATATCTACATAATATTTTTATACTTAAAAAATCCTTTGTGACGAATAATAATTCACAAAGATATTGTCTCATCGAAATTGGAAAATATTGCGAAAGGTGACGTCAAAAAGTGAAATCATTAGTTTGGAACAATTGAATTTAATACGAAATCTCTATGATGTATAATTAACATTAATCTTTAGTTACTTGCACTGATTATCCTTAATAGATAATCTTATGTTGATTAGGAAGAGCCGTCCGAAGCGCCCCACGACGTGACAGCCGCCTCCGCAGACATCACTGTAGACTCTGTTAGAGATCACACAACACAGGACAACGCGGCGGGCGACTTGAATATTAACTTACAGGTACGACTTGACTAAAACTAAGGTTGTACTACAATATACGCAAAAACTTAAGATTAGAGCGCGCTAGTGAAATAAATATTTCGTTAACAAACTATCAATACTATAGTTAGTTTGAGAACGCAACAATATGTATAACAGTCTTGTCAGTGTAGCGTTTGCGAATTACTTAACAGATTTTCACTAAACATTTATCATGATGGATACATTTGAAATAGATACCTGATAATACATGAAATTTGTTACAGAATTCACAAGTGAACACAACATCTATGGTGGTAAAGACGACCACGCGGACCACTGTCAATGAAAATAATGCGGATGGACCCGTAGTCACCACTACTACCACGACCACAAACTCCACGAGCGAGAACAGTAAGTTCTACCACAACTCAGAATGGATATAAAGTCAATATGACACAATAAATATATGCACTGAAGACGTAGTTAGTCCCTTGTAGATAAAAATATATACAAATTACAATAGATTCTGGCTGAGGTTTGGTGAGTTTATTTTTGCTTCTACCTCACTATGGCAAGTAATGCAATTATTTAAAAATCCTATTATACCCTCATATTGCTATATCATAAATGTATTTGAAGCATGAAAGCAAAGGAATGAGCTTATCAAATAGACGATTACGACGATATTTTACATTAATATTCCAAATTATTAAAATCGATTATCTTTTAAATACTCATCAATACATAAATTAAGAGAAATAAATATCGCTTTATACATGATTTATATATGTTTATGTTAAATGTCCGTACGTTTGTATGTTTGACGGGCGCTTTGTGTTTTTGTTTGTAGTCCTAGAGCACAGTCGCGAGGAAGGAGTCATCACACGTATCGAGGTATCCCACTCTTTGCTTTAATATATACCTTATTTATCATATACAGGGTGACTGGTGAATTACTATCAATATTTAAGGAGCATACTCGGTACATGATACTCATTCGAATTATGTAAAAAAAATAGGTACTTAATTTTTGACCAAATTTCCGTATAAATAAATAAAGTGTGTACACGTTCCAAGTGTGGACGCAAGTGGCGGCGTGCTGATACAACACTACGCCGCCGCCGCGTCTGTGTGAGTGTGTGTGTATACCTAATCTGTAGGGTGTTCACACGATGCGTAATTAATTAAATAACTTTTGGTTAACTTTACTTAGAAGTTTATTAATATTTATGTTATATTAATTTTTATTTTGTCATATATGATCGTCAAATATCACGTCTTCAAATATCGATAGTAATTCACCAGTCACCCTGTATACAAGACTTATTCCCGCATGCTATACCATTATTGTATATCCAAGTTTATTTTAGGCTCGATTCAACGAGGAATTTTTAAACTACATCCATCTAACTAACAAGAATAAACCATTTAATTTGTGCTAACTCCGCTATGTTGTGACGTCCGCTAGTGTCCCGTGTAAGGGGTAAGGTTTGGGGGGGGGGGTGTACTAGGTCAGCGTTTCCCGATTTAAAATATATAAAACTTTGTTATAAATATAATTAATGAATAATATAATAAAATACGTGCAAATGTCAATTTGACTTGTATACTAAAAAATCAACATGTGTTTGTATCCTAAAGTAAAAGAATATGAAAAAATATTTGACCATTATGTAACACGATAGTTATAAAATTCCCAAAGAGGGTTGATGTCAGGCAGGCGGCCGGTAAAAACCAAATAGCCCAAACTATTCACAACATGTAAGGCAGACCCTGGCTATAGCTGGGAAATTGCCTGGTAGAAGAAGTAACACTATAGTTATAAAATTAAAGTAACATTAAATGGGAATAGCTGAACTAGACGAATAGTTATGATCTCGTTAGATGAAAAGCACCAGCGGTCGTCACGTGTAGCGGAGAAGAGCGTTCGTTGGTACTCATGAGTGACTCCACAGACGGGCACCGTGACGGTCCCAGCCGGCACCGACCCCAAGCTGATCCTGGAGATGTTTGACCGACAGCGGTCCCCGCTCGCCGTGCCCACACCCGCCGACACATAGCCGACAACATCACCCTCGTGCCACCACTCGCCGAAACATTCGCCGACACATTGGATTCCAAATTCAAAAACGTCCATGTCGACCGACTAGCGAATATCAAACTTGTAACAAATTCCGTATTAAGATTGACAGCAAAAAAATGTTTACACAAACATCTTTTTCCTTATTCGCTAGACCATCGTCATTTCTAGCAATTGAGGATGCTAATATATTAGCCAAGATTTTTAAATAAATCCGGCCGTCAATGTATTAGTTTAGTACGACGTTTTTGATGTCTCTTTCTCCACCCTCTACATTACGTTCATATACATTACTTATGGTAATTCAATATTTTATATCGACTAGAAGCGATTTATCATTATGTTCTGTACATTTAATTCCTATTTTAAGCCACTTACTATAAGAAAAAAATTAAATGCATTTTATAATTATTAGATTCGCCTTAACTTTCAAGTGTAATGTTTGTCTCTGTATTTTATATGAAAATCAATGTAACCTCAACCTAAATTTCTAGTGGTACTTAATTTAATTTTTAAAATGTTTCCAGCCAGTTTTTAATTAGTACAAATTGAGAGCCATAACATTATATCTAGCTAACGTGCAATGTGATTGCAGTTGGCTATTTTATTTTTTTATTAAAAAAAAATGAACGACACTTAAGTTGAAATTGAAACATTCTAAATGAATGTAATGTGCCTATTTATTTTTTATTGAGGATAATAGTTTAGGATTTTTTGACAATCATTAATACATAGATAATATAGTGTATAAGGTAGGTAGAAGTAGTATTTTTACCGGCGAACCAGGACACGGTACTGCCATTTTATTATATACGTTTTTATACCACTATCATTGCAGATTGAATTGTATATTCAGTAAATAATAATAATTTAATAAATTATATTAAAGGATGTGTGAATGTTATGCAATATGTAGCACTGTTGTTTTATTTAAAAGTAATTCTCTAAAATTAAGTTTTATTTTTTTATACTTGCATTTTTATTTACACAACGGCAGCTATAATGTTCATGCCTTGTCCTTTTTTTCGAATTAAGAATATTTTTTATGTACATAGTGTATTGTTAACAGTATTCGATGGCAACATTGCTTGCACTCTATTCAGTACATCACAATTTTATGACATCAGGGGATTTATTTTGTATAAGAAATTTTAATTTTGTTTTAATATATAAGTTGTATGTGCCCGTTTACATAATCAAGATGCTTTTTATATTAGTCCAAACCACAGTACTTTTTATATTTGTAAGTTAAGTACAGAATCCTTTGTTTTATTTACCATTTAATTACCTTATATACTATTTTGGTATTTTAAATTTGATACTGAAAGTTGCAATTTGTATTTAACATATTTAAATGGAAATAAATGCTACTATTGAATTTTCTTTTTAATTATTGATGTTTTATTTATTATATTTTTTCAGTATTCAAACAACCTACAATTTTAGATATTTTATTCATATTTTATAAATGTTAAATCATTGCAAAATGAAGTAATTTAAAAACAATAGCCAAAAAAGGATTTTACTTGACATATAACAAACAGTCTCGTAAATAATTTTCAATACTTAAAAGCTTAAGTTCTTGGCTTATGTTGAATAATATTTTTTACCAATTTTCTAATAACATGTTCAAAACATAGTCCTAACTTTTACAAAAAAATTCTTTTAAAAATAATAAAACTCAAATTTCTTTTAAAAATAATAAAACAACATTACACGTAGTCACTTCATTTATCTATACATTACCTGTATAATTCATTACTCTAATGTCATATTATGACTTTGACAGCTTGAATGTCTTTTATTTCACACTTAGCACTAATATTTAGGGAACAATAAACAATTTAAATAATGAATACACTTGAATTAGAAAATATCAACAATAACTTAAACACGTCTTCGGGATCTCATATCAGCGTCTGTAGAACTTGCCTGTCCATAGCAACTGAAAAAAATATGAGTGATTTACCTGATGGTTTATGCGAGGATACTAAATCTTATTTCGATATTATGATGTTTTGCTTAAATTTACAGGTATATAATAAAGCTTTTATTATATTTAACCGAAAATAAAATACAATAAATATACATTTTACCATCTTTACAGATCACACCAGATTCAAAAATCACAACAAAACTTTGTTTTCAATGTTATTCAAACATTATATCATATTATAGATTTAAGTCATTAGCATTAGAGAGCGATAAATACTTAAGATGTCTTGACCAAAATAGAGATAGCAAAAATGATGTTCTTGCAACAGATGATATTAAATCAGAAGAGTCTTACAACAGTTCTAACGAACAGCAAAGTAATATTGAGATGGAGGTAGATTTTGAAGTTAAAGAAGAAAATGACACGGAAGAGTTGCAGTCTGATGACGAACTGTTAAGTGTCATACAAAGAATAAAATATGAAAATGTTAAAGATGAGGAATCTAAAGAAAACGGTAATCGTTCATTATATATTTCTTTATTCATACAAATATCTAAAATATAAACTTACTATAAATAATAGTTTAATCAACTTTTTAATTACTGATTTTGCAGAGGCTAAGCCTATAAAACCAAAAAAATTAAAGAAGCTCAAGAAAAAACAAAAATTAACACATCAAGTATGTGAAGAGTGTGGTAGAACAGTTCGTAATCTGAAGGAACATATGTACCTTCATCAGCCACTGCTTACTAGGAAGAGATATAAATGTAAAGTGTGTGAGAAAATGTTCTCAAGTTGCAGCGCCAGGTACAAACATAATAAAACAAAACACTTGGGCATCAAACAACACTGTAATGAATGTAATAAAGGTAAGTTATGGTTATGCAAACAAAATATTGTTTTTTGTATAATTTATAGTGAATTGCATGGAAATGTCATGGATGTTAAAATAAAATACAGTCTGAGAGGAAACTGATTAAAATTTCTAATATTGGTTTCTTAAAAGTAATGATAACTTCCATTCATCTATCTCAAACAATTGTTTGGTAGTTTAGGGTAACTTAGAAATAAAATTACACATTCAAGTGGCTTAACTGAATGTCTTATATTTAGATTTTTAAATAAAATATAGTGTGTTAAAAAAGGTAGTATAATGATGCATGTTTTTCAGTTCCATATGTTAGTATGTAGCTATATATAATCTTGCACATAATTGGAAATTCTAATCTTTTACTTACTATGTTTGAGAAGATTTTACAAGGATTTTTTGACATTCATTTTAATAATATAAGATCAATATTAATATTCTCATTACAGATGTAGTAAGTCTCTCGACACACAGAATGGTAATTCACAATACAGCCTCACTACCATATGAGTGTGTATCATGCGGTCGGAGATTCATATCTCGGTCATTGAGAGACCACCATATGTTGACACACACTAAAAATAGACCACATCCCTGTAATCAGTGTGAGAAAACATTTAAAAGTAATTATACCATGATGCAGCACAGGTATATACAATTAAAATTAATAACACAATATTTTATTTGTGATACTTTTTTTATAATAATCCATATTTATTTGCAGACGACAAGTTCATGATAAGGAAAAATCACATCTCTGCCAGTTTTGCTCGAAGAGGTTTTTTAAGAAATATCATCTACAGGTACATTTGAGGTAAAAAAAAATACAAAAATCAAATAGGTATTAGGTTATTACTTATTAGAAGGCTATTTATAAGTTCTGAAACACATGTGTATAACATTACTTTATTATTACATTGCTTAATTGTTTTTTTTTTTTGTAGAAGTCATTCAAAAGAAAAGCCATATGAATGTCCGGACTGTGGTAAATTCTTCTCTACAACTTCTGTATTGAAAGACCATAGACTAATACATAGTGAAGTGAAGATGTTCGCGTGTCAAGTGTGTGATATGACGTTTTCTAAACCTGGGTAAGGCAATGTTCGTTATTATTTAAATAATTTTTTAATTTGTTTGCGAATTTTGTCACTATTGGTTCTAAGAATAAATAGTGGATAGGTTTAAAATTTTATATTTTGGTACTCAGTGTCTATTGTCACAGGAGTCACCCTGTTTTTGTTATCTATTAAAAGTATATATTTCTTTAGGTATTTAAAAAATCACATGATAAGCCACACAAAGGAGAAGAAACATGCCTGTAAGTACTGCGGAGTGCGTTTTGGCCGATCGGACCATTGTTTGAGGCATCAAAGGACCGCTCATGAAAAAGTCATTACGAATACAGCCTGACGAACAAAAACGAACTATATATGTATAATACCAAGGTCTAGATTAATGTGATAGGTTTTAAGTGATAAATCGTTAAGGTGGTGGAATGGCTTTAAATCATTTTAAGGCCAATAGGACATTTTATTTCCGTTAATGTCTGAAATTTTAGAATTAAAAAGTTTTATATTGTTGCTGCTTCGTTACTTATATTTGTGGACCAAATATCGTATTTGTTGATAATCTAGAAAGTAACTTAAATATTTTTTAAACTAATTAGGAAAATAAAATTTTATAGAGTTTAAATAAATATATTGCAATGGCGAACAAGTTATTTCATTTCCGAATACATCATATAGTTCCCATATACCGACTATGACTATTCGTCTGAAGTTTTTTCGAGCTTTTCTGGTATATTGGGATCTTCTTCTTTAACTTCTAAACAGAGACAATCTTCGTCTATCAGTCTTGGCGAGTCTTCTGGCGAGTGGATATTCAATGTGTTGGAAACTGCTTCCAATCTATCAGCTAGATATGGATGGTCCTGAGCAAGTGTATTAACAATATTCTTCAGATGTTTATTTAACTCCCGACTCTGGTTATATTCAAGTAGCACTGCTGACTTCGGTTTCTTCACGCGAAGCGATTGCCTTTTTATGACAGTAGCCAATTCAGTTCCAAGACGTTGGCTGCGGACAACACGTTCTAGGAGCTATAACAATGCATAATAATTTAATACATGATAATATACTTTAATCGTTGGATATTAATTATATAGTATTACATATTGTTTCTGCCTTTCTGCCTCTCCATATTCCTTCAACAACTTGGCCACGTGTTCTTCAAGTCTAGCGTTGGCGGCGCTAGTTTCCGCTACTTCACGCTCAAGCCGATCTTGCTCTATTTGCAGTTTCTCCATATGTGCCTTAGCTTCTGCTAAATCCTACAGAAAATATTTTGTCAATAAGGGACCATTAAAAATATATTTAGATAAATATAATTTACCTTTGTAACTCTAGACACGTCTGCTTTAGCCAGCCTAAGTTTGTGATGATAATTTGACTGGGAAGTATGACCAGCGTTTCCATGCGCCTTCTCTACAGCTGCTGATGCACGGCTCTTTTCCATTGCTGTCTCACGACGCGTCACGTACAAAGCCAAGTCCTCTGATAACTTTTCTCCTGTTTTTCGTAATTGTTCACGTCGCACCTAAAAAGCATAAACAGTTACAATTTTGGTATTTATCAAAAGATGTTCAATTTAGAATAATTCTTATTAAATACTGACTTCCATTCTATGAATTTCAGCCCTCATCTGACCGATTTCTCCAGCCGCAGATTTAGCATTATGAATATTTTTCTTCAATTCAACTGCTAAAATACCCTGCAACGTAAAAGGTGATCAGAAAAACAGTATACAGCAAATGGTCCAAACATAAATTACTTGTATACCTTCCTCTGCCATATTAGTGCTTCCCTTTGAATGCGATCCAACTCCTGGGCGAGATTCATCTTCTCTTTTTCAAAGGCTTCAATTTCCTCTTCAATTTGAATTATTTCCATTTCAGCGTCCTGTATTAACAAATCAGTATTCACTTTTATGGCTTTTCATATTGAAACAAACATATTTATTTAGACATAACAGTAGTAAAACGTCATAAAAGATAATTAACAAGACATTGCGATTACCGAAATAGTTTTTTCGACTGAGCACTACTATCTAAACCTCAATCTTTTATATTCAATTCTTGATTCGATTCGATACCTATACAATGATGTGACCCAAAATTAAAACGCGTCTGACAACGAATTCTGTACTTAATTTAAGTTAAATCACCTTAAGATTTGCAGAATATTCATGCGTGATGGCTAAATTAGCTCGTTGGGCACTCTGATTCTTCTCGGTCGCCTCCTTGCGTGTTCGTTCCAACAACTCCAGACGACCACGCAGTTCACGAAGATTTCTTTCCGTCTTCGCCTGCTCCAACAACACACGTTCGCCCTCCGCCTCAATACGCATCGTCTTTTGCTCGCAAATTTGAATTTCTGGGTTTTTATTATTATATTAAATATATAAAGCAGTCGTTATAAATTTTGCAAGACTTTCCATAATTACGAAAGCTTTACATCGTTATAAAATGATATAAAAATGTATACTTTTACAATTTTCCTCCTCTTTTGTCCAAATGTCTTGGTGCACCACGCTTACATTTTTTCCGATGTCATTTCTATACTAATTTAATATTGACAAGCTATACTAACGTTTATTAATAAGATTGATATCTGACACAATCTTATGATGATGTGCCGTCAATTTCACAACGTGTCCCTGTAGTCGGAGCCATTCGTGTTGTAGCTGCTCTGTACGCTCCCTCATTCCTCGTATCTGCTGCTCCAATTCTTCGATGCGACGCTCTTGTGGGGACTTCATCTATAAGAACCCGTACATTGAAACAACTATTAGATTTCATTTTCTCTTCTACAAAACACACAAACAATATAAGTAATTTGACTTGTCGCTCACATCAAAAATTTCTTTAAGGGCATTAAACTTCTTTATAGTAATATCAAGTTCTCGCTGCTTTCTTGTGATAACCAGCATCTTCTTTTCGTATTTCTCTTCCAACTGCTCAATTTCCCTTTCTCTTTCTCTCACTTTCCCGAGATTTTCCTCCAAGAGTGCATTATTCCGTGCTTGTCTGTTACGATGCATTTCTATATCCAGCATTATCTTCGCATGCTGATTCTCCATGGACATTAAAGATATCTCCTGCAAAATTAATTCTGATAGACCGTTGTGTCACTTTACAAATATTTTATTTTTTAGACGGCATACAGTTAAGGATCAACTCATATAAAATATGAATATATGTATATTATATATCTCACCTGCTTCCTCGACATTTCTCTTAATTTTTTTATTCCATTCGCCATTGATTCCACGGCTTTATCATTTAGAAGACACTCTTGAAGATTTGTTAAAATTTCATTTTCTAGTTTCACTTTTTGTTCATTTCTACGGCATATCTCTTTAGCAGTGCTTTTCAGAATATTTTGCATCGTTTGATTTTCCTGCAAAACAAAGTATTATTATATTAATTGTAATGTGTCAGTGTCTTTAATATTACTATTTTGTATTCAATATCAGTAATATATTAGCATCTTACTGATTTTATAAGTTCCTCATCGCGCTCGGTCATTTCTATTGATTCAGCTAATTCGGATATTTGAGTTTCTAGGGCAAGACGTTTTGCGTCCTCAGCTTCATCTGCAATAGAATGAGATTTTTCTCATTTGTTCGATATTTGATATTTGTTTACTGCTTTACTGAGCTTTACTGAGGTTTGCAGATCAGTGATGCAATGTTCTCAAATTACTGACAACTACATCGACAATACTTATAACAAATAAAAATATCTAATCCAATCGATAAACATACAAAGACAAACGTTTATTAAAAGTAACATAAATAAAAGTTAAAAAAAGAAACTAAAAAATGTATTTAGAGATTCTGGTAGATTTATGTCAAATTATATGGAAACAAAGTAATACTAACACAACTTCGTTGCATTGTTGACGTCATAAGTTAGTTTATCCTTGTTCATTGCCAATTCTTTTCCTTTATTCATCTCCTCCATAGCTACTTTTTTTGTAATCTCCAAATTGTTCAACAGTGTTCGGTAATTTTCTTGCAGGGCTCTGAAAAACATCGTTATACATGCAACGTCTAAACAATAAAGTATGAATAATTTTTAAAATAAAATATATCACCTGTAATCATCACGCACAGAATCGTAAACCCTATCCCGTTGCTGTATATTAACAAGAACAGAGTTCCACAGACTTACAAGCCTACGTTTCTCGAGTTCAAGATCCTCTAGCTCTGCCGCATAAGCAGTTACCTAAACGTTAAGCATCAATTAACTGTCATAAAAAGGTATTCACGATTTAAAGATTTACCAAATTTCTGTTACCTTATCATTAACTTTTTCCATTTCAACATTCTTAACTTCCATCTGTTTCTGGAACATCTCAAGTTTGGATTCCAACTTCCAAACTTCATTACTGAGACTGTAGATGATCACGTCCTAAAGGAATTCAAATTAAACATGACATAAGAATATCTTCAGATTGTTAAAAAGATGAAGTCTACTCAAAACTCTATTTGCTAAGAATAAACATAACAAATATTGTTAATTGTATAAAGGTCATACAAGTTGTCTTTTCTCGTCTGCCAATAACTTTTTCTCAGCCCTCATTTTGTCCGACATGCGCTGGCTAACAGTCAGATCTGATTCGGTTTCTTCACGCCAAGCCTCAAGCTGCCGACATAATGTAGTAAGCGCTTCTAATTCTTCTGTTGCTTCTCGTTCTACAAAAAGAATAGTTACAAATTTATATTTCCTCGGTTCCAAAACAGTTTTTCTGTGAAGAATATTTCGCTCGGTTTGATAAGTTTAGAAGAAATATGGTTATCAGCCCACTTACACAGTGACTATAAATATGTTCTTATTTGGCCTGCATGTTAAGAACTTTCAGAAATCCAATAACCTTAAAGAATTTATGGTCGATTAAAATAGTCATATGTAGGATAGGGATTTAATAATTATTAGGTATTTGTTCTTTAAGTATGTAGTATTCATAGCAGTCAAGAAAGTTAACTATAAAAATATGAAGTTAAAAAAATGTTAAGTTGACTATATTTTTAGTAAGGCTTACTTATTCAATATTTAGCCTATCTTTTACTTAGATTTTAACTATTTTCTGTATGTACGAGACATAAAATGGTCAAATATTTCGTATTTATTCCTTGTGTACATTAACATGAGTGTTTTGGTATGAGAAGTTACATAAAATATATTTATGTCATTCTACAAAACGGCTACAACATTCAATAAAAATTCCATTATAGCCGTTCAGACGCTTAAAATATTTTTAATATCGATTAGTTATGTGTTTTGACAGACCCTAAAACGTTTAAAAAATGGTCGTTATCTTGAAATCATAAAAAATACATTGTAATATCAAACGATTGTTACGGCAATAATATTTTGTATTAAAACTGTATACACACAATATTGTAGTGTTATTTTAATTTTCTTACCAGTTATTATACTTTTTTCAACTTTTTCTTTGGCTATTTTATATTTATCATTAGATTCCCGTGCTCGCTGTTCCGCATCCAGGCGCTCCTTTGTTTTTTTGGCCAATGTCGCTTCATATTCTTCAATAAGCGACTGAAATGAATTAAAATTATGCTCAGTGAAAAATCATAGAAAAAGTCTTCCACTTATTTTGTTATTATCATTGATTGGTGCAGTTTATTTCTTTCGATAAGAGTGTTAAATCGTTTAACGGGTTCAAGAGATATGCAATATCTTTGTGTTAAGTAAGTTCTAAATAAGTTCTTAAAGCATTAACTAACTTATAGACACACAAATTCACATATTAATTATTATCAAGGCTAGGAATAAAATCTTACTCTTTGTGCGTTAGTGTCATGATCGTTCCTATAAATAGAACCAAGATCCTGATCATACTTCTGTTTGCTGAGTCGTAGTTCGTCGCGCTGAAATTATGTATTTTTTATTACAGCTGCAGTAATAAATTAAAAATTCGTGATTACCAACTGATTTGAAATTCACGTTAACTGTATTAATGATAAGCACTATTAATACATTTATTATTTCGCTACTTTGGAATCTTTCCACTGTCTTTGAAACAATGTAAGTTCAAATATAATAAATCTGATATTTTAATTATTTTTTACCAATTTAGTGATTTCGTCTTCAGCAATCGCATTCTCTTTTTCTAGAAATCTCTTCAGAGTTTCCTGGAACCGCTTCATCAAGGGGTGAGTCGACTCCAACACAGCTGGCATTGCTCCAATGTCCCTTTTAGTCCGCCACCTTTACAAATGAACGTTTTCATTAATATTTGTCTTACAACTGTAATATGGCCAGCATAACTTGACACTAGTTAAATCTAATACAATTATAAAACATATTACTGATCAAAAGCTTCTCTCCCAGCTCTATTGCAAGTGCACTGGTCCAAAGGGCATTTGCAGCACTCGCATTCACGTGGACCGCTCGCCAGGCTGGTACATTCACAGGCGTCATCCTATAAAATAATACTTTAATATCAGCAGAATACAATCTTTATTAATTCCTTTATTTACCCTTGGATATATCATCTTCTCGTTCTTGTAAAGCAAGCATGTTTCGTCATGTAGAACAACATCATGGACATTTCTTGGACATCTGCAATCGGGTACCAGCACTTTCTCCTCTACTTCTTCCTCTTCCTCGCATGCACATTTCCCTAAGGATTTCGCCATTTCTCCCATTTTATTAATATACTCTCCAAAGTTATATATTCTATTAAACAATGTGTAAACTCTGCAAAACTGTTTAAAGCTGTTTGTTTGTTGCTAGGCAACCGTAGCTATTTATAATTCGGCTTCGATAATTCATAATTTTGTCAAGTTAATTGACTGAATTCAAACTTTTGTTTCAGAATGGATCCAGAAACAGCTATATCAAGTGCTGTAACTGTTCAATTAGCATTGAAAGTGATTGCTCTCACATTGGATCTAACAGCATATCTTTTCCCAAAACAATATAACGTAAACGGTTGGTATTCATTAAATAAAAAAAAACCTTCCATGAATATATTCTTAAGAAATGAGTCGTATTACCTATGTTGTATTTTTATGCAAATATTTTTTTATGTATAGACGATGATACCTTTGATTTTATTATAATTGGAGCTGGTTCCGCTGGAAGTATTATTGCTAATCGGCTCTCAGAAATTGAACACTTCAAAGTTCTTATTATAGAAGCTGGTGGTGATCCACCCTTGGAGGTTATGGTAAAATAATTGATATATCACTATACTATTTTAATGAAACTATACTTTGTAAATAATTACGATTAACCTGAAATAACTAACAGTCTAAATATTTTAATAACGCTCTCAAATAATAACAAAATATCTTTTCCACCATTAGAGTAGTCTCTATAATGATGATTTAGTCATCAATATAACTGTTTCAGTATCCGGGGCTGCTATCGTATACGTATCACTCTCATATAGATTGGAATATAACTTCACAATACGATGGCATGACGGCCCAATGTAGAAAAGACAAAGTCATACCTCTATTTAGTGGTCGCGTGCTTGGAGGAAGTAGCTCTATCAATTGCATGTATTATACTCGAGGCAAACCCTACGATTACAATCGCTGGGCGCAGTTGGTCGATGACGAAACTTGGAAATGGGAAAATGTCCTTCCTTACTTCATTAAAAGCGAAAGAATGCTTGACAAGGATGTCTTGAAATCTGCTACTGGTAAACTTCATGGGAGACACGGTGAAATTGGCGTCACAAGAAATGTAGATAACAACACAAGAATTTTTTTACATTCTTTAAAGAAAGACGGCGTCCCCGTTACTATGGATTACAATGACAATAAAACGTTAGGCTACAGCGATGTATTTTTTACGTTGGCAGATGGCTATCGTCAAAGTACAGGATACCGATTCTTAGGGGCCGCTAATAATAGACCTAACTTGTACTTATTAAAAAATACCGTAGCAACAAAAATATTATTCAACGACGATAAAAGAGCTTATGCTGTAGAGGTAGTTACAGAAAATGAAAAAAAATTAACTCTAAAAGCAACTAAAGAAATAATTGTGTCAGCAGGAGCCTTGAAATCTCCACAATTGCTAATGCTGTCGGGTATTGGTCCTAAAGATCATTTACGAACGTTAAATATCGATGTTATTGCTGACTTACCGGTTGGAAAAAATCTTCAAGATCATCTTGCCATACCAATATTCCATACGTTGACAAAAAATAAAAAGAAATCTTTTCCCAAACCTTTAAATCCACATGTTTATCCTTACTCAGCCCTAGTAGGCTTTATTGCTCTAGACAAATCACAGTCATACCCAGATTATGAATCAACAATTAATATTATAGAGGACGGAGCTAAAGACTATCTACAAGTTTACTCTTTTGTCTATCAGTATTCTAATAATGTAAGTGAGATTATTTATAATTATGCAAAAGAAAGCACGATTATCGAGACACTAATAACAGATCTCCATCCAAAATCTCGCGGAGAAATTTTGTTACGGAGTGCCAATCCATTTGATGATCCCTTAGTTTATACAGGCTATTTATCGGAAGAAGAAGATCTTGATAAGACAATAAGATACATCAAAGACTATCTCCGCTTAACAGAAACTTCTTACTTTAAGAAAAATAATGCGAAAATGATAAACATAATTGGTAATACGTGTAAAGGTTTCAAATTTGGCAGTAAAGACTACTGGAAGTGTTATATACAGTGTACATTGAATAACATGACCCATTACTCAGGGACATGTGCTCTTGGGTCCGTTTTAGACAGTCGGTTATTAGTCCGAGGGGTAAAAGGTTTGAGAGTCACGGACGCTAGTATAATGCCATACATTGTTAGTGGTAATACAAATGCTCCTACCATGATGCTTGGTGAAAAGGTCTCAGATTTCATTAAAGAAGTACATGATGCATTAAAATGAACAAAAAAAGGCAAAAAATGTAGGAATAAGTTGAGGTTTATAACCTATGGGCCTGTCTGATATTATGATTGTAGTTTAAGAGAAAATTAAGTTTCATGTAATAAAAAGAAAATATAATTGTTGCAGACTCGAATATGTCCCTACAAGCATTGACTATCTACATATATATATATTAGCATTAATTAATTTGCAATAAAAATTAAGTAAATTTTTGTACTCTACTTTGAAGAATCTTTTATTTCCACAAGCCCATTTACTTATCAATATAATTTAATAATTTGCTGTATGCTGAATGCAAATAGAGAACATACTCAGTTTCAGCTTTTCTCATCTATATGCTTCATTTAAATCCGTATGTCTTGCATTGTTCTTACATAAAAGTATTTTTAATATTGCTATTGAATTTTAAAACAAACAAATGATAAGCTTATACTAGAATTAAATAAACGATTTTCAAAAAATGAGGTACTTACTTAGAATTAACAGAAGTTTATAAAAAAAATGATTTTTCACAAAATATCCCTGCCAAAAAAAATTATAAGTTTAATTCGTTCCATCAACTTTTTAAAGTGTTTAAAATACAAACATCACGATACAAAATTTCGATTTTGCGCCTTTAGTTCCCCCATTATTATAGCTAAACCCTAATATATCTTTGTTTGTACGTAACTATGGTAATCAAAACGTGTTCAGAGGAAAAATTGTCAGCAGTACTCTTAACGTATACATTTCTAAACGAGAAAGTGATTGTGTGAAAACGTATACTAAAAATTAAAGATAATACATATTATAACAAAGGGTAGCTATTATAAAAATGGTAAGTAAAATCCACATAGATATCCTAAAAATGTATATTTTCAACAGTTATGTCCTTTGACATATTGTTCTTAAATAACCTATTTACAAATCTTTAGATTCTAAGCCGATCAAAACCAGCAAACGAGAGAAGTGAAAGCGGCAATTCATCGAAGAGGTCATTTCCAGAACTAGAAGACTTCATCTTGAAAAGGGATTATTTGGGGGCCATTACTATGCTTGAGGTGATAACCACAAACACAATATTGTTAAGAATTTTATCGAGACTTAGTTCTATCGACTTCTTTTAAATTTAGCACATTATTTTTTTCTTTAAATACCGTCAATGTGTTGTCAAATATAATTGTTATAAAATTATTATTTTTTTAGTTCTTGAAGCATGATGGTAATACGGATGTTTGGGTGATTGTTTGGTCAGCGTGGTGTTGGTTTCATCTTGGTGAATATAAACGTGCTCTGGATCTTTACCTGGAAGTGGAAGGCCGTCATAATCTTGAAGACTCCGTGTCAGATAACATAACATTGGATTTAGCTGTTTGCTACTTTTATTTAGGTACATTTAAATAACTGCACGAATTGCAATTAAACAAGTATATATATATACTTAATATCCATCTAGTCTTTCAAATATTATGAGTAAACTAACATACACATAACATATGAAGTGCTCATAAAACTCATCAAAATACCTAATCGGTTTTAATTTATACATACACCGAATGCAGACTAGAGTATTTAATTAGCTAGGTAAATTTATTAAGGTATAAGGCAGCTAACTGGACATCAAGCTCATCGGTACACAAATTGTAAAATTTAATAAATAATACATTTTTGCAGGGATGTACCAAGAATCTCAGGCAGCCGTTGATAAGGCGCCCAACTGTCCTTTGAAGGTTCTCTTTTAACGTGATATTTTATGTAATGGATATTAAAAGGTGTTGAATTAAATAAAGCAATTCTTCTAGAATCGCCTTCAGTTTCATCTTGCCCACAAGCTCGGGGATGAAGATGCGTTGATGCAAGTTCACGCAACCTTGAGAGACGTTCCCGAGGACCAGCTAAGTCTAGCCTCAGTCCATTATTTGCGGGCCCACTACCAAGAGGCTATTGATGTTTATAAGAAACTTCTTTTGGACAGACGGTTCGTTAAAATAGTATCGATAATCATGAATACGTTCTTAAACATTTATAAAAATTTTACAGTTTTAAAAGATACGAGAGTGATGATAAAGATTGGTTGAAGATATTGCCAAGTCTGCCTAGGTACATAATAACTAAAATTCAAGTTTTAGATTAGTTTAATGTGGATTTAATTAGAAGAATAACTTTTTATAAAAGTAATTGTCGCGGTTTCATCAGTTTAACATATTTTTGCAGCACATACATGGCGTTAAATGTATACGTGGCGCTATGTTATTACAAACTTGACTACTACGATGTCTCACAAGAGGTTTTGGGTATATATTTAGCTCAGTATCCCACATCAACCGTTGCTGGAAATCTGAAAGCCTGCAATTTGTTTAAGTAATTATATTTTAATACATTGTTTATTTTATTTTTGTTCGTTAAAATTAAAATGATCCAATCATTCAGGTTATACAACGGCAAAGCAGCTGAGAATGAATTGAAACAAATATCTTCGGAACAACATACATTTGGACAAGATCTTGTTAAACATAATTTAGTTGTGTTTAAAAATGGTGAAGGAGCTTTAAAGGTAAGTGCAAATGATAAAACTTGAACATTATTTTATGAATGTATTCCAGAACATTATTTTGTATAGTTTCCATATCGGTAAAATACATATAGTTATGCAACCTATCCGGGATGTACTAAGAAATCATCAAAGTAAATTTCTTCATAGAACGGCTATAAGATACCATCTTTAGTAAAGAATACGTATTTACTTAAAATATTATGTTACAAACGCTTGCATACTAATATATATTGACGACTATACTTTTCTTAATACGAAATTTAATATAAAAGTAATTTTGACGGAATAATTAAAGTAATCAAACAGTTATAAAATAAGCTAATTTGGTTAAAATTACGTTATATTTATTTTACTTTTAGGTCTTACCAGAACTAGTAGACGTCGTGCCTGAAGCAAGATTGAATCTAGCAGGTTACAAGCTTCGTCACAGAGAGCCGTTGGAGGCGAGGATGTTACTAGAACCACTGCAGCCGACATCTCCTTTGCACTATATACTAAGGGCTGTGGTGGCTGTAAGACTATATAACGAAACCAATGATGTAAGCAGAATAATTGGTCTTATTAATCGAACCTGTACACTTATTTTTGAATTAACATTATCGTTACAAAATAGTTTAACAGAGAGTCATAGTCATTGTTAGATAGTCTTATAACTTAACGTACACCTTAGTCGAAGCTGTTATATTTTATTGCATTCCTATAGTTCCTGGATTCAGTCCTCCATTCTATACGACTATGGCAGGCACTTTGCACGTCTCTTGATGTATGTCTCCTCACGGATGAAGACCATATTTAAAACAACCAATTTAACATACGAGCAGATTAATTTTTTATATCCCAAAAATATAAACTAATATTTTATATAGAAGATTTTATCTACATTTACTGAAAATCGAAAAACGTGATTGTATTTATGTCAGAATGTAGAATTTAATTGTTATGCTTATTTCTAGGAAGAGCAGATGAAGTTGGCTCAACAAAGTTTCCACATTGTTGGCAGCTCGGCTTCAGAATGTGACACAATTCCTGGACGTCAATGCATGGCATCCTCGTACTTCCTGGCTGGCCAGTTTGAGGAAGTGCTGGTTTATCTTAACTCGATTAAAAGCTTCTTTGTTAACGATGACACATTTAACTTCAACTACGGACAGGTGAAAATATTTATGAAACTGATCTAAAGACTAATTTGAATGTGAAAATAGATTGTACTCTAATAAACCACAAACTACAGGTTCTTGGCCGGAACAAATACCTGAATCTTCTCATAGATAAATTGATGTTTAATTGTACATCAATGTTTAAAGTATCGAAAGCATTTATTATTACCAAATGACTTTATTGTCACAGGGAGCTAATTATATTCTAAGACAAAGTAGCGTCTTATTAAAATTTTCTTTTATTAAAATTTATTATGATTCAGGCAAAAGTGGCAACGGGCTTTTACCGCGAAGCAGAGGAGAGCCTACTAGCGATCCAAGATGAGAACATCCGCAACTCTTTTACTTATCTTGCTTGCCTTTGTCGATGTCATGTAATGAATAAAGAGGCCCATCTTGCTTGGGAAATTTGTGTAAAGGTAAACATAAATTTATAATAATTTTGTTAATTTTTTATAACTTAATAACTGACAAAATTATATCGACAGTCAGCCGGAACGCCAGACAGCTTCGCGCTTCTTCAACTGGTAGCCAACGATAGTTATCGAATGGGCCAGTTTCTTGTCGCCGCTAAGGCTTTCCATATGTTGGACAGGTACAATATTACAAACACTTACAATACTTAAGAACTTATTGCGTGCAAGGCGATATTGTGTGATAAACATTAGTGATATTATATCCTCCATACTACATATTTCGTAAACAAGTAATAAAATTGAAGCAAAATCTAGATTGGACGGTGGCCCAGAGATGTGGGAAGGTCTTCGTGGGGCGGTGTGCGGCTGTGCTCAAAGTGCTGCCGCGGGAGCTCGGTCCGGACAACTGAGAGAAGCACTCGCCCTCCTCAGAGGCGCACATCCGCGGGCAGAACATATAGTACGACCCATAGTACGATGGGCCCACCAGAATAGGATTCAAGTTTAGATAATAATAAACTATGTTTTGTTTTAAGATTTATTTTATTTAAAACCTTACAACAAATATCTGTTAATAAAGTTATTAGACGAATACAAAAATTGTTTACGAGACTTTTTAACCACAAGATAATGCAGTTCATTGGTCACTAAATTATTTATTTTGGCTTTGGTACTCGTTTTTTATCATATCTGATACTTTTTCAGCAATCATTACAACCGGAGCATACAGGTTTGCACCGATGGGTAAGGGGATGACGCTCGCGTCCGCTACTCGCAATCCATCCACCCCAATAACTTTTAATTCACTGTCTACAACTTTGCTGATGGCACATGTGCCGATCATATCAAAAGCAGTGTTTATCATGCAACGGCTGTAGCATTCCCAAAAAACGGTACTATTAAGATCAAAAGGTCCACAACGCTTATTTGACAAGTCTACAACACTAGCATTATTTTTCTTAAAACGTTCTGAATTCATAACTTTCAAAAAATCTTTAACATGCTTAACAGCATTATCCAAATCTTTTCTGTTAGAAAAAATTCCTGAATAAATTAAAGGGCTATCGTTTGGGTCTGTGGTTTTTAAAAGAATCTGTCCTTTAGATTTTGGATGGAGATTGACAACCAAGGCCACGGCAGCATTTCCTCTGTTACTACCTTCATTTAACCTTTGAGAGATATCTTCCTCGTACATAAAATCATTAGTAAAATACTGTACAGGCATTTGTGAACCATGGGGTACTATATATATTTGTATTTGATAATCTGCATAATATGCTTTATCCTTATTTAAAGATGCAAAACCATTGACCATATCAAAGGGATGTTTGTAAGGGTTGCGAGATATAGGGGGTTCTTTAGATTCTTCCATTTCAATGTACAATGGTACTAAATTATGGTCCTGCAAATTACGGCCTACTGGTAAATCTGAAATAACTTTTATGTTTAAGGACTTAAGGTGTCTTTTAGGACCAATGCCTGACAACATAAGGAGCTTTGGGCTGTTAATAACTCCAGCAGATACAATTATTTCATTTTTGGCGTAAGCAGATATTGTTTTTTGATCTTTCGTTATTATTTCTACTCCATTTGCCCTGCCGTTTTCATCAAATTTAATTTTTGATACTAAAGAATTCTTCATGAATTTCAAATTTTCGCGGTCCTTGGCAGGTGTTATATAACAAACACCTGTACTTTGCCTCACGCCGCCTGATAATGTTAACATTGGCTGAGTAAAGCCTAGATATTCTTGCCCATTAACATCTTCAACTAAAGTCTCTCCGACTTCTTCGAGTGCTTTAAGGTATTCGAGCGCCTTATCACTTAATTCTCTCGTCACATTAATGTAACCTTTTGTACCATGAAGCGCCCCATCAGGTGACTTTAGTATATCATTATCCAATAAATTTTCGCTTTTCATAAAATATGGTAACACATTATCCCAATTCCAAGTGCTGTCTTTAGCTATTTCTGCCCAACTATCGTAGTCATATTTACTGCCACGGTTGTAGAACATGTAATTAAAACAAGTGGTCCCTCCTAAACATTTACCTTGTGGCAGCCTCATTACACCGTTTTTGTGACATTGTGCTGCATAGCCATCGTTTTGAGCAGTATGGTTCCAATCAACTATGGAATTCGGGTTATACTGCACCAATCCGGGAATCTTTAAAGAGCGGACAATTTTAATTAGAACTTCTGCAACTATTAATATTTAAGAAAAATAAAAAAAATACTGACTAAACATTGCATTGGAGAGTCACAACCAGCTTCGATTAATAGAACGTTGAATTCCTTGACTTCTGTAAGTCTAGATGCTATAACGCTGCCAGCGGCTCCCCCTCCCACCACAATGAAGTCATAGACATTACCATCTGAACAGAAAAATTCAAAAGATTCTTAAAATAATAAGTTAGTAATAACACTAATATTTTAAAAGATTATAATTATTTTTAACAAGATATTCCCAACGTTTCGGTTACTTTGCAGCAACCGTGATCATGGGCATACGAAAAACGCATAGATACGAATTAGACGTTAGTTTTATTTCAATGAATACTGACTAAAGTCTCAGATCACATTAATAAGTAAGCATATGGATATAAACATATTTCTATATCTTTATAGGATAGTTCAAAAAAATAAGTCATTTTAAATGAAATAACATAATAAAAAATTTGGTCGATATCAGGCACTGCCAGAGAAGTAAGTAGATATTAGTAAATTGACTTATGTACTTCTTTTTAGCAAAAAAAAAAAAGAAATTATAACTACATAGCAAAAAGTGTTCACGCATTCTACTAGCAAAAAGAGTATAATAAAGAAATAGAAAAATCTTTTATATTCCATTTTTTTTTTCATATTTTCCTCTCAATTTTGTGTACGTAAAATTTACTTTCTAAAAAGTATCTATATTGTTTATTTATTTTTAGTCACAAAGATTAGTTAATTTAATTTAAACACTAAATAAAATGTGCAGACATTTTGGATATTAGGGGAGACATAAAAAACGAACTTTTATATTATACTAGCTTTTGCCGCGACTCCGTCCGCGTGGAATAGTGACTTCCGGCAGATTGTTGGTTCTTCCCACATAGTTCCCGTTCTTGCGGAGTTTTCGGAATGGTCGAGTTTCCGTAGAATTTTCAGGATAAAACCTGTTTTTTTTTTCACAATGAAGTACTCTTAACCAACAACATATTTATTTGTTTATTTGAATAAAGATTGGTTTATTTGAATAAAGATTAATATCATTATGTTGATACAACTTAAACAAATTATTCCGACCAAATTAGGTACCATAAAAACGGTTTTTGTGAGTTAATCTTAAAAGATAGACATATACTGTCGCAGACTGTTTTTTAGATCATTAAAAGAGCTATTATTCTTTAATACATATTTTTTGTGTATCTTGAACCGTTTTCACGGCGCACGTAACGGAAGGCTTCAAAGATGAAATAATTTCTCCCGTTTTTTACACATTTACCACTATATCTTTGCTCCTATTGGTCATAGCGTGATGTTATATAGCCCACAGCCTTTCTCGATAATCGGACTATCCAACACAAAAAGAATTATTCAATTCGAACCAGTAGTTTCGGAGATTAGCGCTTTCAAACAAACAAACAAACAAACAAACTCTTCAGCTTTATAATATTAGTATAGATTCCAAAGGTTTTAACCCCCTTTCATAATTCTTTTTCATATTCAAAATGTTTCTGTTCTAACTATATTGTATTTATTAATAGGAACTAGAAGGAAGACTGTTTTGTGTGTTTTTTTCTTGCCCAATTTATTTATTTATTTTGAAAAATTGTTTCAATTGTGCCATGCTTATTTATATAGAAAGATTAAATAATTTTTATATTACGTTTTTATTCACATAACTATGGAAAAACATAATATTTAGACTCACCTTTCACGTTGGCCTGTGGTGGAAATAAATAACCTGTGAAATCAAGGTAAAGAAATATAGTGCTAAAAGCTAATTGAAGTTCTAAAGTCCTTCGTATTATTTCCCGTGTTTCCATCGTTTTATTAAAAATCTACAAACTTCGATTTCAATTCCAATATGTGTGCTAAAATATCAAATCGCTTTAAAGTTGCTCGTCAATAGTAATATTAATGATTCGTGAGCAAATAAACTGATAATTAAATAATGACAACACCATGATTAAACCATTACCGATAAAAAAAACATTATCCACCTCGTAAATTATGAAAAATAAAATCTTGGTAGTTATTATAGTAACTTAAAGAAAATAATAAGTACATAAAAGGGGTCTCATACTATTATATTATATTATGTTTTTTTATTAATGTCATTATATTCGACATAGGTCCTTTGATCAATTCCTAATGGGGAAACAGAAAAATAGTATCTTTTTTGGATGAAACTGTATGATAAACTAAAATAACCAACAAACAAACAAAAATTATGCAAGCTTTCTGCAAATTTCAATTTTAAGCTTTCCTTTAATTTATCAATCAATACATAATATTATAAAATGAAGTCCCCAGCCGCGTCTGTCTGTTTGTCTGTTGACTATAAACAGAAAAACTATTACACCCATTATTATCAAGTGGTTTCCACCCCTCGATAGTAGGATTATCGATGAAGGTATTAGTATATATTTTGTTAATTTTCGTATTTATTTTTGTGGATATTTACTATATTTTTTGAAGATGTCGGGAAAAAATAAGCCGTCGGGAACTTTTGACGAAAACGCTGCTTTAAGCTGCTTTAACAGCTTTCTTCGTTAAACATAAAATAAGTCTGAACTTACAAAAATAGTATATTTTTATTTTAATAATGGTTTTTCAATATAATAAAATTATAAAAATTGTTTTGTTATATCTCAAAGGGTTTCCGTGAAAAAGTACCAGACGGCTCATTTTTTCATGATACCTTCGTTAATGTACAGATAAATCAATACAAAATCTTAACAAATTCTATATTAAAACCTTTCTCGGAAATCACGCTATCGAATGGTGAAAACCGCTTGGTACTTGGTGCAGTAGTTTTTCTGTTTATTGAGAACAGTTAGGCAGACAGACGCTGCCGGGGACTTTGTTTTATAATATTAATTGATATATCACTCATAACTAACAATAGTAAGCAACAAATTGGTCAAATAAAAGAGACTTTTCTTTCAAACCAATACTAATTACTCCTATCCAGTATTTCCAACAAACGATCGCGATTCAAGTCCTTATCCAGTAAATAAACGTTACATACATACATACTATAATGGTATATAATTAACCTACATACCCTAAGTATCGAGTACAAAACGGAAACGAGTTGACATTACACAGTAATTTCTTAAAATATTTCAAGTAGTTCTTAATAGATTTGATTTACGATAAGAAGTCGCAAATTCCGATTGCAATATCCATAAGACGCTACTTGAAAACGTTGCTTCATTTCAAGTTAAAGCGTTATAATAAACTTAAGATGTATGGAATTTTTATATAAATATTATAAAAATATTGAAGGTGCTGCCGTAAAATTTAAAAAATATACTTATTCATTAAAATGACTTCTGAAATGCTAACAATTCTTTAATTTTGTTTAGTCTAATAAAATTGTGTACGCAATATTTATTCTATAAATAGATTTATAAAACGGTGCCAAAGCTAATTTATGTAATAAGTATTTAAATGCCAATGTCCATATATCTATGTTCACTTTTTTATAAATATATTTAAAAAAACAGACATAGTTTTCCGATAATGGGTGTTCATTTTGCAATCTAGATCATACGAATGTAAAAAATATGGAGATTGGCCAAGTACGAATGATTTTCTTATTATTTTTTTTTTGTTTTGGTTTGTACAAAATAATAATGATTTTCATGAAATTTAGGAAAAATTGTCTAGATGTAAGATATAAAACATTGTATTAGATAAATTTAGCTTCGAAACGAATGCTATCATAACTAATCAGGATCCGTAGACAAAAAATGATGTTCAAATAAAAAAAATGTATACCGTAAAATGGTTTTTTATTTATCAACTAAAGTACACATTATATTTACATTTATGTAATACAACGCGTCAAGATCAAGTCCGTAGCAACAGTCAAAGTAGAACTAAATAAATAAACAATAGGAGAGTTACATTCGGCGCACGGGCGAGGTCGACCCTGTTGAGTCGCTGACTGAACAAACACATTACGTGGGAACATACCCTTAAACCATTTTACAAAACCATTGCCATTAAAAATACTAAACCAAAACACAAAACTTATTTGAACCAATTCTACACAGCAGAAAATGGTAGCAATTAGTTTGTCTATCCCATTCCGAACAAAAAACTACATTCATATTTTTTACTGTGTGCCTTATCAGCTTCAACTTCGTCTCTAAACTAAAGTTTGAAATCGTGATATACTGGTAAAACCCAGTCTACTAACTCAACTCGTCTAAAGAGCAGAAGTGTCAGGCCGTTTGTCAGTCAGCGAAGCAGCAAGAGAGTTTTTAAGTTAATGACTAGCGCCATGGGTGGCCGATTGAGCCCAGACTGAGTTTGGCAACGGGCGCAGCAACGGCGACTGGAGCGGCAATGGCTACAGGTGCGTGAGCAGCAATGGCGACGGGTGCCTGAAGAAAAATACACAAACACTTACTCATGAAAATTTATTAAACGTCTTCAACTGTTTCCCCTGCAAACTCGTATATTTAAGCTCATTCAAATTTTATACTTTAACAATTATTATAAGCCATTCTGTTTTAAAAATAGTATAGTATGTAAATATTATTAAAACTGAATAAAAATGAACCAATGTAATGTTTAAGCGAAAGCTAAGTTTTGAAATATAGTACTAAAGTACTTACACCGTGGGTGGCACCACTTCTTTCAACGACGGCGTTGAATCCGTTTATTTTGTCGGCAGTATAGGTAACTTTCCTGACGTGACCGTCGGGCTCCACCAGACTGTATGATCCGTGAACCACACCATTCTGGAGGGTCTCCTTGGCTTCCTTCTGGTCACCAGTTGAAGGGTCAGCTACACCATAAGCGTAGCTGTAGGCGGGGTTCGGGTCAATAGGTTCTGCCTGTACAACCTACATAGGGCATACATTACAAGGTTTTAACTTTTATTTGATGTGTTTCTCATATCAACAGTTATTCTGAGGATTTTAACAACTTACCGGAGCTGCAACAGCTTTAACAACTGGTGCAGCGTAGGTCTTGATGACTGGTGCAGCCACAGCTACGGGAGCAGCAGCGATGGAGTGTCCCAGTCCCAGTCCAAGGGATCCCAGCGATCCGTAAGATAGACCACCATAGCCGCCGTTAAGAATACCGGGTGCCGCTGTCGCCACGGCGCACGCGCAGCATAAGATAAATAACTGTTAAAAAAAGCAACTATAAGCCGATACATGACACAAATATGCTGAAAATAATAACAATAATAATCAAAATTATCAAAAAAGAAAAACTAAATTGTGACAAATATTAGTTTTTAGACATAGTTCAATACCTTGGCGTACATGACTGTCGCGTGCGCTTATCGTGTGGTATAAAGCACTGTGGCGGTTTGTGTCCTGAGCGCGTATATAAATCTGCGCGGGATTGGACACTTGATACACTTTCGCAACCAAGGATACGACACACTTGCCCTACGTTAGGCCCCAGCATGAAAGTATAATATATGGATTAGGGGTGTATTTAGTAATATTGGACCGATACTCGTTTGTACATATATAGAATACATTACTAAGTTGAGCCCATTGAATCTAGATCTGTCTAAAAGTGATTAAATGTAATAATCAATTCTGACATACGTATACTGATAAGAAATATGTTGTTTTTGAGAGCTAGAAATATTTTGTATTCACCTACAGTTGTTTTTTATCGTATTTTTTAAAATATAACTTACCTTGATACCTAAGAAACTTAATATTTATTATGTACCGGAGAACAAGAAGATGTTCCACCGTCAAACTTATTAATTGAAAACAAAAGCAAATTTATATAAAGGTAAATTTAATAAATCTGGACACAACCAAAAGAATCATTAAAATATAGAATTTCTAAATCGGTAACAATTCAATGATATTGATAAAATTTTCGATCAAACTAATTTGAAACGACATCTCTAGCCACAATTTTTAACAAAAATTTGCATAGTCAAGCTCAGTTCACCGAAATTTACCAAAAAAAACAAGTTTCAAGTAATTTTATTTTAACGTCATTAGCTTTTATTATGTGGTTCTTCTTTATTTAGCACTCCGTTTGAGAAATTTAATTGCGAGCTTATTTAGTCACAGACGATGTCTCGCGGAATTTGTTTTTAAGTAGTAAAAATTTATATAAATAATTACCCCATTTGTTGACCTTCTTGGACCATGAGTAATATACTGTTGTTTGCAATCACTATTGTATTCAATGTTTAAGAACATACCATCAAAGCAGAAGGTTTACTAAAAATTATGTAGCATGTGTATGTATAATTACGGTAGATTGATAACAAAATTATGAAAAGTAATACACCGACCACGGTATATTTTTGTACAAAATTATAGAATATGTACGTAGGAACTTAAGTTGTTACGAAACTCCAATAATTGTTTTTACCGTAGGATATGCCTCAACAATTTTCCGGTGAGGTATTAAAGACTCCAATTTTTTTAAGCCTTCGTAAGGTCCAAAAAGAGCTTTATGTCTTTGACCTGCATTAGTATTGGTTGCGTCAAGTTCTTATTAGTTAATGATTTAAATTTGTCAATTATCACTTTATTTTATCGTTTTTTTAACTTCAGTTCCAACTTCTAAGACACTTTATAAATATCATTAATATTTTTTGAATAATACATGCGTCGATCAAGTCTTCTAATACAACTTTTGTGTAACTTCGGTTCTAGGAGTCTATAGTTCGTGCAATTATTTAAACGCTCATCTTAATTTAGTTCTATAATATTTAATAGCTTAAAGATTAACTGCTCTGGCTTCTCCAATAATCAGAAGTCTTATTATTAGATACTAAAAATAAATAGTTAACATTTTTCTGATGCAATGTGACATAAGATTGCGCGCGGTAATCTTTCACCGGAACCACACAACTGGTCAGCTCGCTACCGGCGACATGTTGCTACGCGACACACATTCACGATTGATATCTTAACTTAAATTAATATTAATGGACATGTTAACATTACATAGAAAGGCAAAAAGCAAAGAATTCTACCAAACAACTGTGTACTAATACAAAGAAATACGTCAAAATTGTTACCTTGACGCATCAGCCTGAATACAAAAGTTATATTGTTTATATTATTTCCTTGCTGGAAAATAGAAATTATTGCGATCTAAGACTTTCGTGAGTATACATTTATATAAAATTGCAGAAGAGATGAGATACCCGTGATCGCGGTTAGTAAGTACCTAATCCCAAAAAATTTTTGTTTTATTTAAATAGAAATTACTTAATTAGGATTATTATCAAGAACAAGAACGTTTACTATGGATAACCACCACAGTGAAGCACTCGTAAAAATACTTATTCTACAAAATCAACCGATAAAGACATTTATCGTCACTTCATAAAAAATAAATCTATTGTGATGTTATCTAGCGAGTAATTTTGGGAAAAGTTTAGCCAATATATTACAAATACACATAATTTTATATCCATACAAACTTACAAACATTCGTATATATAATATAAGTTAGATTATTATTTATGTTTATTTTTATTAATAGAATTTAAGATTTATGACAGGCTTGGACTTGAAGTTTTTTAAATATAAATATATATGATAAGGTCGTTCTAATTAATAAATAATTAACAATAACATTGTATAACCACAAATCACATACAATCACAAAGGTCGATAGAAAAAATAAAGGCTTAGGATACCTATACACGATTATTTTTAATGAAAAGGCTTTTTTCTATTCCATTTATTATTACATTGGTCTTACAATCCAAAATTTTAATTACGATTCTTTATCACTTTTAATAGTTTTTCTGGTTATATGATTTTCCGGTACGCATTCTGAGTTTTATATTAAAATTTGATGTCTTGATAAAGTTTTCCATAGCAAAAATACAATATTAAAAATGAAATAAACAAATTAAAATGTAGATGATCTTTGATTAAATGATTAATGTTAACTCATCATTACGTATAATATTATTTATTTTTTAATTTTGAGTACAAAAATAATTTGAATATAGAGTTTAACATTGTTGTCTCTAAAGATCAAATGTATACGATCGGCCCAATAAGTAATGTGGGTCACATAGATCTATGGATATCTAGAGTGTAGCTAGGTTGGCACTAACTATGCTGCATACTTGTACAGTGCCCATGTGCGAACTAGTTTCAATTTCATATATAAGGGCCGCGCCCATTCATGTGTTACACGTATAATTTGTGCTAATAAGCTTTAAGAAATTCACCGTGCTATTGCTATATTTCATTACGTATATTTTTTATTTTCATGCGAGTTAAATATAAATTAAATGAGCTTTATTTAAAAAATTATTATATCTCTTTAAAGGAGTAATTTTAGTAATTATTCATTATAAAATCTGAATTAATGTAAATAAACTGTTAGTGAAGCGTTTACTTCACGTCAGTAAAATTTGTCGTCATAAATACCGGGTGGTGTTTCGAAATCTGTGTCCTAATACATTTCGAATAGCGAATCTAGAACTATATTGAAGTTTAACTCGTTACCTAGATATTCTATTGCGTTATAACATTATGGATATTTGTTTACGCCAATTGATAAAGTGGTATGATTAGCGCAAAATGTCGTCTGACATATTTCAAAATGTCCCATATATGAATAAACTTTTTCAATTTAGAACGTTTCCCTTCTACCGTGATTTCTTATATCCTTTTTTTACGTCATGAAAGTAATTTATTATTTACCTCCGGCCCGGGAGGGGAGTCGAAAGGGTATGTACGATTCACCGCCAAAGACACGCAAATCCCCACTGTACACCAAAAGTTACTTCCAATCCTCTTCAAAGATCCTCAAGGGGTCGTAATGTTCTAACGGAATGTACTCTTCGTACTGTTCAAAATATAAATTCACTTTATGGTAATAATTTAAACCTGTGCAGGTACTCCTATCTTATCGAAATTTTATGAAGGCCCATTTTAGTTACTAGTGGTTAAAATGCCCGCCTCTCATGCATGAGGGCGCGTTTTCGATGCTGGCCCTGGCAAAAGTATCAATGTAATTTTTCCGAGTCATAAGGACGTTCTAAGAGTATTTAGACATCACTGATTAATGCATTCCCTAAGAGGGTTGATGTCAGGCAGGCGGCCGGTGGTAAAAACAATTAGCCAAAACTATTCACAACATGTAAAGCAAACCCTGGCTAAAGATGGGAACTTGCCATGTAGAAGAATAAGAAGGTTTTTGTTACCAATATTTCAATTTAAATAACTATAATATATTATGCAATTCACTCTGTTGCTTTTATATATCATTTAGATATCAGTAACACAAGGTTCATAAATTCACAAATATCTATTGACCTTTACATTAGAACGGCCGTGTGTAGACATAACGTTGAATTGTTCGATTAAAATATAAGTGGGACGTGTGTTTGCCTGTTATTCTATAGATAAATGTTGGCAGATAATTGCTTTACTTTGTACTTACAACATAATCTGCGGAGGCTTTTTGTGTATGTTGGGTATTAACCGGCACCACCAACTACGATATTTATTAGGGCATCGTTTTGGGTAACTACACCATTTGCGGCATCAAGAGCTATTTTATTATTTAAGTGACAGCAAAATAATACACACCACAAAGTATTTTTATAATAACATCTTTTCAAACATATCAACAAATAGAAATTGTACTTAAAAACGAGACAATCCATACAAATTCATAATTCAACTCGAATGGGTTAATAGGAAAGTTACGTTTTTTTTACAATTGTTAACACTAACGTTACTGCTTAGTCAACAATATTTTTTGTGTCAAACTTTATTCAAACCATCGGAAATTAGGTACAAGGCGTCAATCTTACTAAAAGGCGCTATAATAATCATGACACAGTCTAGAATCACCTCTGGTAAGCTGCAAGGTGAGGTTTTATCTACCATACGTCCATACTAAACTTTTAATGACAAAAAAATTACACCTTAAGTACCAAGGTCAGTCAATGATTCTTTTTGATATAATAATCTAACTAATTGCGGACTCAAGAAATAAAATGGGATATGTGTTATTTCCTTTGTAGAAACATAGAAATAAATAAAACTGCTAAAATATACCGGCCACTTTTAGAAACTCACAAATTTGTTTATACCACGTGACCGTAACAAGCATTTTCTTGCGATCCTATTATAATCAAAGTATCTACAAAATGAATGTTCCTTATTTGTGATTTTTTAATACATTCTATATTTTCAGGGACTTCGCAAAAAAACAAAACATTTCTAGTAATGATCGTTAAAACTACCAAATCTTAAGTAAGGCACTGAAGATTAATAACCGCGAACTTCTTTGTTATTATATTTTTGTAATTTGTTAAAAATATTTTAGTTTTTTATTTCAACTTATGTTATATTAATAATATTTATATGAAACCAAAAATATTACAAGGAAATTAAATATTAAATATCCAAATAATGAAGCGGATTAAATCTTAAACGAATAATATAAGTACCAGCTCAAAGATTTTTTGTAATAAGTTTCGCTTTAGGCTCTACGGTTTTGGCAGCTTTTTGCCAAAAAACAAGAAAGGGGAAACATTTTTAAGTAATTCAATAAAACAACATTATTATTCCTCTTACATGCAAATCAACTGAGAGTTAAGTTTGTTATTTTTTTTTATTTATTGCATTCCATTTGACAAAATAACATAAGAAAATTGAAAAAGTACAGTTACAAAGATTCTTTATGGAAAAAATACATAAGCTTTCGATATAAGTGACTTGTACATAAACATATTAAGGGCTTATTTTTTGGCACTGAAAATTGAATGACAATATAATGAAAAAATAATTATTGAGCAAAAAAAATTTCGATGTAAAAATTAATTTATCTAGTCTTTATATCCATACATCATTTAATATCTCTTAAATAAACGTTTTATATACATCGTTATTCAGTGACTTGTTGGTAATTGTAGATCTCCATTCAAAACAAATACTTTTATGGTTTTCGTTACTTATACAACTCATACTTAGGAATAACAATAGTTTAAAGAAAAAAAAAACTTAGAAAAAGACATTTTTTATATTCTATATATGTATTTGTATTTTATATGTATTTTTACTTATAAAAACACATAATATAAGTCACACGAATATATATTCCATATAATTTAAACGTACTAAATATATGTAATAATATTAACACAGGTTCTATAATAAATATTCAATATCATATAATATTAATATTTAATATCATATCTGTAACAAATATTTACGTTATAAATATTACTTAACACATGATTCTCTTGTTATCTGATCAATAATATACAGGTCACGTCTTTGGTAACAATATATTTGTACTATTATGCTTCTTATTATGCGTTACAACTATATATAAAGTTAAGTATTTTTTATTATGCATCCGGAATGATATAATGATTAGTCTTCATTGAAATTACACTTAAATAACTAACAAATAAAAATCACATATATTATAAGTTAAAAAAAAATGTATATAAATGTTGATACAAAATTATGGAATGCATCTTAAATGTATAAACCAGGGCTGTCCAAACCATAGAATCTTTTTTATCTTCTTTATTTAAATACTTTAATGATAAATACTACCAGTATAACGATATTATTATAACCAGTATTAAGTTATTTTTATTTGATTGGATTCCATCAAATTTAGACAGCCCTGGTATAAACTATATTCTATAGAGATCAACATAATAAGCTAATTGTACCGTTATCGCTGCCGAGTAAAAGTAATCTATTAAGAGGTAACACAGACATACACGTCATGATACCCTTGAATGTATCTGATCTTAGTTTAGTGCTTGAGAATGAGGCGTCCTGCCCTAAAGATGTGTGCACACCGATCCTATTGTTGGTAGTTCCTGATATAAGCTCGTTGTAGTACACAGATATACAGTGCACCGGCTCCGTGCTGCCTCTGGGGAATATTAATCTATGTTAATGAAATTTCATTTGTATCAGAACACATTTATAATCTTCTATAATCTATATAATAAAAATAGTATATAAGTGTGTATTACTTGAGATGTGCTATTAGTTCACCGTCGTCAGCGCTCCATAGCGCTGTGACTTGATCTAAGCCTGAGCTCAGCACACGGTGGTCATCTACAGCGGCCAGGCGAAGAACCTGGAATATATAACAGATGATGTATATATAGATGATATGTGTGTTTGTGAGTATGTGTGTGTTTGTGTGTGTATATCGAACCTCTCCATCGTGAGCCCGCCAAGTCGCCCTGTGCGTGCCTGTGCGCGTGTCTATAACCGCCGCGTAACCACTGGCCAAACCCACACATGCCCAGGCGCCGTCGGGACTCACGCACATACAACGAATGAAGGAAGTGCCTCCGCCTAGCACCTGTAATGAGAGATAAAAACATCATTAAATCTATCTTACTTATAGAAGAGAAAAGTTGAAATTATAACGTCGTCTCAATGTTTTTCATCTATCTTTGTGATACTCTCAGCATTGGTACAAGGAACAAACACAAACTTGTTTATCCTGTTACTCGACTACATAGTCAGTAACTCCTTTGTGGGGCAATGTATACGATTTTACAACAGGACCCCAGAAAGCGTTCAAAATGCCTCTGTTGCTAAATTTAAAAAAATTATTAAGGAACGCTTGTGTGCAAAAGGTTACTATACAATTAATGAATTTATAATCGATAGCACACCTTGGGAATGAAACGATCGCCTCCTGGCTATTTCATCTCATATTGAATTGTTTATACATATAATATATGAGACAAATAAAAAAAAATTATAATAAACCCGCTGAGTTTCTTTCGCCGGTTGTTCTCAGGTCAGGGTATTTTGTTTTCCGAACCGGTGGTAGTGTCTCAAGTGACCATCAATAAGAAAGTGTAATGCTTCTATATTGAATAAAGTTATTTGAGTTTGAGTATCTATCGCATGTCGCATTACACTAGATCTTAATCTCTAGTACCTTCAAGTCGTATGAGTGGTTGGGTGCGCGTGCGTCGATGACTCTAAGCGTGGCGTCCGTGGTGGCCGCCAACACTGAACACGAGGGTCCCGGGAGCGTGCGGACTATACTCACTGGAGACTTGATGTTATCCAACTGAAAGTTATGTTAATCTATGTAAATATTGCTATGTAATTTCTTCCATAAGATGGAACAATAGCAATATGTTAACACAATGAGATCTAATACTTTCGCGAGTATTCATTTAAATGAAACTAATATTTTTCGGATTACTATGCGTATTTTATTATCTTGAAACCTACATACTCCTACCTACATACGTTTCGGTTACTTTGCAGTATATTACTACAGTGCAGTAAACTTTCTCTGTTAATATGTTAACATATTTAAAGAAAATAAATTATCATTAATTTTTCTTAAATCTAATTGGTATAAAAATGAAAATCTCATATAAATTATTATTATATAATATATTAATAATACTCTTCTATTTCTGAGTATATTGCGTTATGGTAACAAAGGTATTAACATTCAACAATTTTAAACAATAATTTTACAAATCATGAATCCAGTTAGTGCCCCGTATATAAATTATCAATTACAATTTATGTAAATAGTAACTGAATATATTATATATGTATTTATGGTCAAATAAAAATATATATACAAATTTTAATCAAACCTGTGATACAACGGTTTCCATGAAAGGATCCCATAAATGTACGACGGAGTCAGTGGACACAGCTAGTCTTAGTGATTCAAGGAAAGTGAGTGATAACACGCCCTTCTTGTGACCTGTGTACGTCCAGATACACTGAGTAGTGGCGTTCCCCTCACCCTGTATAACATAACATATACAGGGTGATTCTATTTACTTAAAAAGTTTTTTATACATATTTATCGATTATAATATATAATAAAATATTTCTGGTATTAAGTATTCATAGAATTTTATTTATATTAGAAATACAGGCTATTTAATAACATACAAAAAATATATAAATGTATACAAAATGATTTTTCTTCTGTTTTGTTTTCAGTAAGATATTTTACTACGTAACTGACTTCAATTCTGACTGTATTGAAATTAAAAACTTTAATATTTAATTTTTTTCATACATTTCAATAAAGAAACTTCAAATATACTTCACCTGATTCCTCAAGGACCACAGCCTCACAGTCTTATCCTTGGAGCCACTCATAAAGCTGTTCTCGTTGTCAAGACAGTGTATTGATTTGACTGAATGCGTGTGACCCACAAACGTCTGGAGTTTTATTTGTTTGAGATTGAATCTGGTGTCCTTGTCAGCGCGACCGATCTCGTGTTCCCAGTAAATGAGCCAGTCTCCGCGGAGATGTCTGAAATAAAATAGAACAATACAAATTTATTTAATAAACAACAAATAAATAAATAAAATAACAAGATTTTTCTTGGACAACTATGTTTGGTTATTAATTATACATTTAACAAGTATATCACCTGTCGTTTTTAATGCCATCCATTTTATACGCCACCACGTCAAACCCATCAACCTGTCGGGCCTCACAGACATTAGACACGTCTATTCTATTTCCCACCAGAGTGACGTTTGAGCCAAAACTATTGGAACTAGATAAATGGTCCATCACAACATCCCCTCTAGTCGGAGTGATGTCTTTCGTCTTAATGTTCAAGGGTTCGTCACTCTGTGATGATTGGACACGTTTGTCTTGACGTATATTTAATGGTGAACTGAAAAGTGCATTAATATGGTCATTATTAGCTGAATACATACATAGTTTGTATAATTATATATTTGCATACAAAGTGATTTTGTCACATTCATTATGGGAATATTAAAAATTTGGGTGCGGACATAACTCTTAATTTATTGACTAGAATAAGAGGAATTTCATTTATTAAACAAACAAAAACAAATAATTGTTATTTTGGACAAACTCTCATATCATATTCCCAAAAACGTCTTTGAATTAAATAAGATAAAAATTATATATAAATGTGTTATCATACATTTTCTACATATACTTACCTAATGTAATGATTTTGTCTGTACTTAGAGCACAGGGCACGAATAGTTTCACTGTTCTTGAGACACCTTTCCAACGTCTCATTTCCGATTAACTTAGAAAAAGTGTTGTACGAATGATATGCGAACTCCTCATCGAAGACCATTAGAAGTTCTTCTTGAGCCTGAAAAAATGATATAATGTTTACATATACAGTAGAGTTTAACTTTCAAGCCCACAGCGAAAATATATTTAATTTAACAAGGAAATTGGAGCATAATCTTTAAGAACGCTATAGATTATGGCATCTAAGTCTAACGTCAAGTCCTGAAATGTTCATAATGCTTTAAATATAATTGCAAAATCTTAAAGGCTAAAGGCTCTTAATATGCTAGATATAAGGTTTAAAGAATTTATTCTCAAAAAGACATAGTCACTTACATGAGAACATACTCGTACATACAAAAGTGAAAATACAAAAGTAGTCGCCAGGTTATTTGCAACTCAATTAAAGATAGTAAGATATTATTACAAGTGTGTTACATCGTTGGTATATCAATTATTTTCTAAAATATGTTGTGAAAGATTTAAATTCGTTAATTGAGCTTGCATTTCTTATTGACGGTAATTTTTTGTAAAGTTATAGATATAAGATATACATTGTCAACCAATTCTGAAGACCCATCACTTACTGTTAGCGCGGTGGCGTCTTGTCTATCAGGTAAGGATGGTGGAGTACAAGCCAGTTCTGGTAGATCCGCTCTCACTACGCGACCATCCCTCACTGTCCACTCCGCTGTACTGCCGTCACGACATATCTCCAAGAAACCCTCCAACTTTGGATCACACGAATCTTGTTCTGAGGACTATGAAAATAATCATATACACAAAGTCTAAATTATCCTTAATGAAATTGTGAGTTATTTTATACGATTTGAATGTATTTTTAATGGAATGAGATCTAATTTTCGCGAGTTTTATATGTACATTTAAATGAAACGAATATTTTTTGGATTATACTAAGCGATTTTATTTTTGTATAAATCCACATACTCCCGACGTTTCGGCTACTTTCCAGCAACCGTGATCACGGACAGACGAGATGTTTTAATTGAGTTCAGTGATTTGAAATTAGCCATAATCCACACTCAGGTAAATGTCTTATGACTCAAAATGTAGGCGTGATAACTGGTGTTAATTTTAATAAGATGTATCCAAGAAATATTCTGTATTTAACGCAAGTCAAATATATTTCGAATGAAAATAATCGTTGAAATCTCTTACACATAAATACGTACCTTATCTATACTACTTTCGTCCTGCTTTGGCCAGTTGTCGGTTTTGCCGGAAGCTTTATCGAAGGCTAGGAAAAATCTGCAACATAGCGAGTTTTAGTATACTAAAATCTCATAAGTCCATTGATATCAAATTAATATCAAATCTACCTCTGTAAGGCTGGTACACATAGATGTTTCCTGGTCATTTCCGGTCCAATCCTCACCGCGACTACGTACATAGCGTCTAATAGCTTCCTAGTGAGAGCGCATCGTGCAGCGGCGCCGCTTGGATACGAACAACGCGTGGTTGACGCTAGTCTTAACGCAGGTTGAAGGATTGACTTCAGAAATGTATCCTGGAATATATTATGTTGTGATTTCTTTATAATTTTATTCATAACGATTGAAAACCATATCTGTCTTAAAGAAAAGTCTCATCTAATGGTGATTAATAGTATGTTACTAACTTAAATTTAATATGATATTATTTAAATCAAAATATTTATATTTTAATATCTATGATCGTCTTAGCAATGATAATGGCTACAAAACAATCGAATTGCCTGATTTATAATACATATACATTATGCAATTGAGTAAAAATACATTCATGAGATGTTTGAAACCTTGAAGTAATGTTAAAAAAATCTTGTAATTCAAGTCATCTCCCTACCTGTAATTGTTCCATAACCTTAACGTCAGATATAAAAGGCATTAAATATTTGATCAGTTGTAAGCACGCGACAACACCTCCCTCTAGCGGCGTTGACAAACGTCTCCTACAAGATGCAATCAATTCACCCATATGGGGTAAATATTGAAATATTATCAACTGCTCGCCGTACATCGCTGAAATATATAATTAATATTCAATAATAATATAACTTTTATATAGTAAAAAAGTAATTATACTCACCAACTATGGTGGTGAGACATTTTATGACCTTTATAGCATTCTTGTCACCGACCACTTTGCTGTTGACAATAGACATTTTATCGAATTCGTCTTTATCATCGCTGTCCCACGACGCGAGGTTTTCTTTGCCGATGTAACATAAAGTGAGCATTTTGAGCAAGTTCCTTGTTATGTATCTACATGTTAGGACCGGGCCTAGTCTATGCGCCAGCCAGATGAGACTCTCTGAACTCATATCGGATATTTTATTATCTCTGTCTTTACCGAAATCATTATCTTCTTCGCTAATCTCAAACGTACTGTAATTCTTCCCTACATTATTGCGAGTTAGTTCTAGACTCTTTATTTGACGGACGTTATACTCAGTTTTATTATCACCCCCTTCTGATTTCGATATATCGTCGGCGAAATGCAAGTAGCTTGTGAACATTGGTTTTGGTATATCTATAGTAGGGGACGTTGGCAATTTTTTATTTAATACGTTCTGGCTATCGTCTTTTGTTATTATGATTGTGTCTTTAGGATTCGGTGATGATATAGTCGTGAAAAATCTGGAATTGCCTGGGGAAGTAATGTCGGCGGAAGGTGACGGCGTTTGTGACGCATTTGTGTCCTTGACGACAGTGTTTGAATCCATAGAACCGGTCGGGGATTTGCTTCTACTACTGATACTAGGATTTCTATCTTTATCAGATTCGAAATGAAACAATTCGTTCTCGCTTCTACTGTCCTGGTCTTTTTCTTTCATGACGTCATTTACTTCTAATATACTTTTCTCTACACTTGGCGTAGCGACGTTTTCTGAACCATATGACGTGTCGGGTGAGAAAATATCGCTCGTGGAGGTTAAAGCGTTTTTGAGATTATCATCAGAGTAACGAGGCTTTTTGTTCATAACAACACGATTTAAACAAACGTGTCCCGGCGAACCGCTTTCGGGAGACATGTCCTTATATCCACCAACAGCTTCGACTAAGTGCTGAGTGAAAGTGTCCAAGAAACATTGCAAACCAAGTCTGACCATCAATTGCAGCAGAAATATATGATGATACAGCTTCACATACTTCTGCTTACTGACAAACCGTGCATTCGTTATAGCATCAACGTCAGTCATTTTGTGTTCGGACCTTTCATAAGCATAGTCGTCGTCCTCGTATAGATTAAGAATATGTTTCAATAGTTTATTTTTCGTCTCTTCCGGACCTAGAGCCTTGCTGACCATGTCAAATAAATGCCAAGCAGCTAACACTGAGGTGTCCTTGTTTTCTAACAGCTGTATGTAGTGCTGAAGAAATATATCGAGAACGTTAAACTGATTATCGTAAGTGACTTGGTTGAGCAGTAGTCCGAGATGTGTGATACAAGCCTGGATTTTTCCTTCAGCTGTTTTCTGTGTGAAGTATAGTTTTGTTTTATCAACATTCTGATATTTCTCACATTCTGTACCATCGCATTCATAAGTATACAATATGTCCAACTCGTTGCTCGTCAGTTCGTATTCATGTAACGTGCTCAGAAGACTGTATAGAATACTAAAACTTTGTGGGAAAGGTATCAAGTTCTGCATTAATAAAGGCTGGAGTAATTGTGATGCTGTTGCTGGTGGCAAACCTTTGTCGGTTACGACTTTTTTAACAAAGTCTTCTCGTTTAACACTTAATTCACTTTTGAAACTTAAATATGGAGGTTCTACGTTCAGTAGAATGGACGCAATATAACTAACGCATTTAGGCATAGCATTAAAATTATACTTGAGAATAGTGCGACAGCTATTATACCTCTCAACAAAGTTGTCATTACTTAATCTTAATGGACGCATGAGAGTGTGAAGGAAAATCTCAACTATAAGGCACCCGATCACTAACATATCCTGTTTCCTACATTCAGTTATAAATTGCTTGTAAATCGCAGCATCCGTTGTATAGCGAGCATTGAACATTCTATTCTTCCGCTCTTTGAGAACATTTTCTAAGTTATTTTGACTGAATTTCTTCAAATAAACCTGATCGTAAGAAGCTTGAAACATATGATTCGTGAAGGCAGTGTCCTCTGAGCCATCTTTATTATTGGTTGTGGAGTTCGTTTTAGACTCTTGCTGTACTGCACATAAATTTAATGTAATATTATCTTTTTCCTTTTCGCAACTCTCTGCGATACTGAAGAAACATCTTAAGCGGAAATTGTCTAAAGCCTCTAGAGCCTGTATAGATGCTGCAGGGTTAAACTCCTTTGGTAAGTATATAACTCCTTTGCCGAGTTCGGAGCGCTGCACTCTATAATGTCTCGAACTGGAAGGTGCTCTACCTTCGTTGTGACTATCTTCTTCTTGTCCCTTCCCTAAAGATCGTCCTCGACTGCTGCTTTTCTGCCTGCGGGGTCTTTGAGATGGGACTGTTAAACGGGAAACATGCTGAGGTAGACTGCTCGACTCGTCCTCCTCATCAGAAACTTCATCTGAACTATCGTGGACGGATTTTCCTACAAAAATATAAGCCAAATATTAATAATAAATAGGTATGAGAAGTAAATTCTTCTATATATTCTTAAATATTATATTAATGTCCTTTTTTAAGTGATTAAGCTTATATAGAATACATCCATCAAATATTACAAGCCGAACATTGCATTACGTCTAGCATAGCACGTAACAATCGAAATATTATATGAGCCACGAAAGTAAAAAAAATATGTATTATTGGATTTCAATTTTAAATAGCATATATAGCATTTTTCTAATCAAATATATATAATGGAGCCCATTCATAACCACCTATATATAGCTTCGAATTGACTTGATTTCCTTTAAAGTTTAATGTATATCCGAGACAATCTTAACATGCATATAATTCGATATTCTCGTTTTGACCGTTTAGTAATTTTTAAAGGAAACTGAGTCAATTTGAACTTAAATGCTATGAATGGGCTCCATCCCTACTAATATTATAAATGCGAAAATAACTTTGTCTGTCTGATACGCTTTCACGCCTAAACTACTGAACTGATTTTAATGAAATTTGGTACAGAGATAGAGTTGACCCTGAGAAAGAACATAGGATAGTTTTTATCCCAGACTTTTGAAAGGTTCTCTTGGAAACGCGATATAACCGAACTCCACGCGGGCGAAGCCGAGGCGGGAAGCTAGTAATAAATATTTCTTTAGAAAGATGCTATATATGTATGTATCTAATGTTTATATCTCACGTGGGTCCCGCGGCGTGGTCCACCTCATCCTAAGGGGCAAGGGAGGGGGTGCGCGCGGTCGGCGCGGAGGGTGGGGGGCGCACAGCAGCTGCACCGTGCCGCCGCGACGAGTGCGGCAGTGACCGTCCACCAGCGAGAGGCACACGTTTTTGGCCTTCACTGCTGAGGAGCCGGATAATCTGTGGAGAAATGATATATAATCCCACTTATATGTACTCTTCGTCTTCTACCTGGCAATTTCCCGGCTTTAGCCAGGGTCTGCCTTACATGTTGTGAATGGTTATGGCTAGTTGTTTTTACGACCGGCCGCCTGCCTGACATCAACCCTCTTTGGTAATGCATTAATCAGTGATGTCTAAATACTCTTAGAAAGTACATATGACTCGGAAAAATCACATTGGTACTTGCCCGGGCCAGTATCGAACCCGCACCTTAATGCATGAGAAGCGGGCTTTTAATCACTAGACCACAACTGACTTAATATTACTATTTCTAGCTTTTGATATATTTGAGAAGCTAATTTGTACATATGTAGGACTTTTTGTCCTTATAAGCCCAATTCGATATTGGTTTCATACAAATATATAAATATACTTTTCTAAGACTCTATGCAATATATTTATTGCATAGAGTCTTAGAACAATTCAACAAAATATATAATAAATTGCATAATATATTTATAATTATAATAGATATATACTTGTAACCAAATGTGATGTCGATCCAATGATGAAGGTTATCTGATACATGAGCACTCTCCAACGCCTCTCTGTGCTTCGTTATGAAATCTTCTACACAAGTAGCCCACGATGGTATACTTAGATCCTGAAAAATATACAGAAATTAAAAAAAAAACCTCCACATTGTAAGTAGGAGAAAACATATATTTAAGCTTTCAACAGTATCCACATAGCGTTTTTTTATTCAATTTACTAAAGTGTTCTAATTATAAAATAAATTTCATCTCCGCTATGTGGCAAATTATTATGATCTTGTCTCATGAAAACGTGACAAGTGTATTAGAACAAAAAGTATATTTCTAACTAGAATATTATGAAATAAATAAGTCACAGAAATAACAATGGTTTTACATGAATAATGTTTTATTACACTTGCAAACAAGCATAAATTATTATCTTATTACTTCAATACATTTCTTTTGTATAATGTATGTATAATCTGCATCGGTATACTCCGTATAATCTAACAGTAAAGAATCAACAAGTAACAGAATCTCAAATAAATACCACAGTACTATCCCTACTAATATTATAAATGTGAAAGTAACTCTGTCTGTCTGTTACGCTTTCACGCCTAAACCACTTAAATGATTCTAATGAAATTTGGTACAGAGACGGAGTTGACCTTGATAACGATCATAGTATAGTTTTTATCCCAGAATTTTGAAAGGTTCTCTTGGAAACGCGATATAACCGAACTCCACGCGGGCGGAAAGCTAGTGTAATAATAAATAAGTATCTCAAAACAATAGTAATAGATTTGTTCCTATATTTCTTGACTATTAAATCTAAAAACCTCTATATGTTACTCACCGGCAGATCTTCATGTATACTCTTAAAGACTGTAGGATCTGTGTAGAACTCTGGTATACATTCATCCGGTGTCCACTCCTGCATCCTTTGTATAGATGCTGGGTACTCAGCTGGGACCCATTTGTTACGAACATACTTACACAATATGTCTTTTGGAGTCCTAGAAAATAATATGAAAAGACATTTTAATACATTACATCTTACTAATATTGCCTGTGTTTTCGATTAATGTTAAACAACTTAATCTTATTACCGATATTATATAAGTATTATTCAATACTTTACAAAATAAATTTCTTAAAAAAATCTGTTAATCCTTTTTGGAAAATTACAATAAACAGGGAACACTGACATATACCTAATGCATAACTTTGTTTACAAATGCTTAATAATTATCTTTCAAACTTTTTTTATCTGTAATGTAATTACTTTTAATATGTACACCAATTCAAGACAAAATCCAACATTATAATGTAATCTCTTAATCATGGCTGGATTACAAGCTTCTAAGTTCTCAAAGCTCTAATAAAATATTTATTAGTTTTCCTAACTAATGTTAATAATAATTACTAAGACTGACCTCCGAGCTAAATACACATAACAGGTGATATCAGAGAGTGCATCAGTAACATGGTGTGGGATTTGTCCATCGCAGCCAGTCACATCATATGTCATATCTAACTGACGGTCGCCTTTGTTCAGACGGTACTTGGACTTACTCAGATCACGCCAGTTGCGACCTACAAATAAATGTTTTTATTTGAGACGAAACCTCTTAGCATTCAATGTATTCACCATGCGGGTGCCGGGTCCATAGTTGTAGGGAGAGGAGCTTCAACAGTGCCTGGGACTTGCGACCCCAGTGTAGGTTTAAAGGACCCTTAACTAACGCGCGTTATACGCTCACCTCCACTGTCCAAGCTCCTCTCCCTACCTAACCAAATTTGAAAAGAAATTACTAGGGCTGCCTTCGACGTACGTTCCAATCATTGAATACTTTATTATGAAATACAATACACTTGTTTAGCCTTGTGAATATATATTAATAATTTTATATCAGCCTTATCATATGAACATAAAAAAACAGATGGATTAATTATTTTAATTATGCAGTATATGCAATTGAAATATAAATTTTGTATAGATAAAAGGAATAATGTCATTTAAACTAATAAGATATAAATTGAATAATTTTATACAATTGCATATATTTTTATAGTAAAAAAATAATAGCAATCTACTTTATATATTTCTAACAGAAGAAAAGATAAAAATCATAATGAAGTCTCACCACATCTATAAGTAAAATCAGTTACCCAGGGCACCATAAAATGTGCTTGCGGATCACTGGCCGATCGCCCGGCCAAGACATTTAAATGCAACAAATAGTCCAAGTTTGATATTCTGCCTCTCACCCACAACATACAGAGTTTTTCTAATTGTACGGCGTTACTACGCCAACACCATTCCTCGCCTTGTTTTTGACTACTCTGGCTAACAACATTATTTTGTTGTGTCTGTTTATACCTGCTCTGTTCACAAATCAATGCAGAATCCAAGCAATGGATGTTATTTGTCATAGGCGGTATTATTTGCAGCCACAGGTCTTCAGACAAATAAATATCATGTAGTGTCAATTTACCTAAGCTAAGGCCTCTATCACATAATGCTTTGGACACATTCAATAATTGGTACACAATAAACAAGCCCCTTGAATATGTCTTATCAATTAAATTTGGACTAAAATTTAGACAGTCTAATAGATTGTTCTCGTAATTACATCTGTATACAATAAAATAATTATTGTCAGTTTCTAAAGTGAAAATTGCTGCTAATAGATTTACATGTGTCTCATAAGTTTTGGTAGCATGTTTATTACCCATATCTTTGTAGTCATTAATTTTATATGGTGTATCTGATTTTAATTTTATTATATTACAGCCATACAATCTAAGTATTATTTCTGATAATAACTGGTCATGCTCAAGCAGGTTGACTATAGTACTCTCTTTTATTGTGTCATTATTTTGACAATATTTCTTATAAGACTCCTTCCATAAATTCCTCTGGTTACTTTGTGATACATACTGGAGCAGCTGGGCGAAGGTTAGTGGTGTTTCAACAATGTTCTCATTTAACTTATACCTCGGTAACGGTAACACTTTAGAAGGTCGTTTTTTTAATACCTAAAGAAAAACCATCATACAAAACGGACGAAATATATAGGTAAAATTCATAAAACAAAATAACTTTTTATTAAATACCTTAATAAATATTTTTTTCCATGGATAAGGAACACTTTCACCAGGTTGCAATGTAAAATCTAAATTATTTACACAAGCATCTATTTCTACATTCTTTAACCACTTTCTTAACCAAGTGTTATGGACAACGACGGCAAATAAGTTTGATGAGGCTGTGGTAAATATATTTCTGCTGTTTATATTTAATTCCTTACTTATGTCTTCCATTGCTATTTGCATTTATGTTCTTTGTTTTGTTTAGTAGAAGTTATCAATATAGTTTGACATTTTAGTGTTATCCATCTGACAGATACCTTCGATCAGCGGTAGAAGTTCAGAAACAATTTTATTTATCAAATATATTATGTATATATATGTATTTAAATCAAACGAAAATTATGAAATTTTCGTTCTTCAATTTTATTTCATTTAAGGAAATTCTATACTAAGGACTTTAAATTCCTACAAGGTATTTAATATTATTATGACAAACAAGATTTTTACTAGTGGATAAACTTATATAAACATAATAATATATACACGAAACACATCCAAAAACGGAATTTCATCCTTTTTATAACATATATTTTTTTTAATTTTAAATTATATGAGGAAAATTTCTGTGACGTCTCAAACTTTATTTTATTGTTTCACACTAATGGGGAGCCATTTGTCAATATGTATTATACATACATATATACAAGTCTTCATTTTATCAGGATTCAGTAAAATAAAAAAAGTACTATAAATTGTTTATTAACTTCAGAACATATCTATAAAAATATGGAATGTAACATAGTAAACTTTTATCAAACTTGTAAATAGAAGTCAACAAGACTGTACCTTAAATAACAATTTCATCTAGTTAGCACCCATTGATCTTTTAGTTGATTATAAAAAACAGTAAAGCTGACAATTACACAGATGTCTTATATAACATTGAAATATGAATATAAAAATACTGTTAACATTTAAACTTGGAATTCTATAACTTATATCTATTCTAGTTTGCCAGAAATTCTTTTCATGTAGCATTTCCACAGAGTATCCTTATAGATTACCGCTTGAGTTTCAGGACTTTTGGCAGCGACTATCCCCCTCCCAACTACGACAACATCGGCACCATTTTCTAATATAACTTTTTCTGGAGTGTTGTATACTTGTCCAAGCTCATCCTTTGAACTTTCAAGCTGAACTCCCGGTGTGAGTTGGATGAAACCAGGTTCATTAAATGTTTTCTTATTTTGGCAAACAAATCCAACTATAGCCTCGGGATATTTGGCAGCCATTTTGACTGTTGCCTCAGTATAGTCTGGAGTAATAAGATTATCCTGAAAGGAAATGATATGTCAGTTATACTATTAAGGCATAATTTTTGTGAGAAGTTAAACAAAAAACATACTGCACTACTCATTTCAGCTAGCAGAAATACACCCCTATTAGCACAATCCATTGCATTGTTCAGAGCCTTCAAGATACCATCTCCCGGTAAAGAGTGTGATGTCACACAATCGGCCCATTCACCTATTTTATATATACCCTTAGAATATTGCAATGATACTGTATGCCCAATATCGGCAAACTTTCTGTCTTCCAGAATCAGGAAATTAAATCTTTGTGCTAACTGTTTTAATTGGGTTACAAAATTATCAGAGAAATCTTCAATGATATCAATGTGGGTCTTCACTAAGCATACATGTTCGCCAACTTTTTCCAATAAATCAAGTATATCTATGGATGATGTTAGGTCAACAGATAGACATAAATTAGATTTCTTTGTAGCCATGATAGTAAACAATTGTTTTGCAACTGGATTCACTGCTAGCTCTGCTCTTTTCTCATATGGAAGTATTATTCTGTCTACAACTGGAACTAAAAGGAAAAATTTAATATTAAACCAATAATACAAAGACTAGCAGTTATAAATATAATATTATATTTACCAGATGCAGGAGCTTTAACATCATTCAAATAGTTAATAACATCAATACTCATTTGCTTTGTTATTTTTTGATTATCAACCAGAATTTTCAGTATCTCCGACATAGTGAAAAGTGATTTTATGTAAACACCATTAGCTGCTAAATTCTGTTTGCCGTTTTGTTCTCTATCTAATATTATAACAGCTTGATTTGCAACTAGTCCTTCTCTTTTTAAATCGCTTACAGTTTCTAATATGCTTGATCCAGAAGTTACAACATCTTCTATTATTAAACATGAATCTCCTTTTTTAAAATGTCCTTCTATCATCTTTTTAGTTCCATAAGCTTTTGCTTCCTTCCTTCTCATTAACATAGATTTTCGCGCTTTAACACCTAGCAATGTTGCTATTGGTAAAGCTGTGTATGGAACTCCACACACATGGTCGTACTGATCATCTTTGAGAGCTAAATCGTATAGTAAATCAGTAATCAACTCCTGCGAAATTAATATCTATTAACTTTAGAATTATTATATTCAAAATTATACATTAAATATTTATTAAAAAGAAATCTCGTACCATAACTTCCGGGTAACTAACAATGACCCTTAAATCAAAGTAGACCGGCGACTTTATTCCACTTTTCGTCATAAACTCTCCAAATTTAACTGCATTTATATTAAATAGATCTACCGCTAGTTTTTCAAGGTTCTGTTTGTTAGCCATTTTTAAGTAATAAAAGCTCGCTTAAATTTTTAGAAGGAAGTTTATACTTATAAGAACTCAGGACTCATGTACCTAACCTAAAAAAGTCCAAAGTCTGTTCACTGTTGTGAAACTGAGCCAGTTTAAGTTTTAACTGACCCTATTGGATGATGGCTCAATTATTTATGTACAAAATTTAGACAAACAAAACACTAACGTCAAATGTCAATTTGAATATGAAGTAATGAAAAGTACTTATAAAATAATGTTCACAATTTGATAATTTACAAAATTATAATCAGTATTTAAGTAAAAAATATTCAATAATTTTATTGAAATTAAAAACTGTCGATTATCATAGCATTAGAATTTTGATGTGATTTATAATTGACTCGTTAAAACTAAATCTATTTCAAATTAGATGACATTTAAATCAAATAATATTTGAAGTTTTGTTAACATTAAGGAAATAATTATGTTTTAAATAATAAATAGGTAGTAAATTATGTCAAAATTTACCATTTTGAATTAGCCTTACAGTAACATAAGGCTAATTTAGCAGTTATTCTATTGCCTCACATAAATAGACTTTTATGTATATAATTATATATTTACCGCTCTTTTATTATATACAAACACTTGGCTTAATTTTATACAAATGGTGGTGGAAGGTAGTAATATTTTTTTTATCTGCAAATTTCTGATAAGTTTAAATTATTTTTAATCTACAGTAACGAGTTGGCGGGAACACAGATCTTTTAATTTGATTAAAATAAGTGATTGTTTTATATTAGTAGTAGTACCTAACTTAAAACAAAAACTAATGAACATTCGAACTTCAACGTATAAATATCCTTTTCGTATTTATTTTCAAAATTGCCATTACCTTCCTCCATTTTCAAACAAGAAATTATTAGGAAATACAAGTAAAACATAATATTGCCTTTAAGCTTCAGATTCTAACACTACTGTTATAAAACTATCATCTGTAAATATCTACCTATCATTCAAGAATTAAGTGGAAATAGAGTTAACGCTGGATCTTAAATGGAATAGGATCGATGTCATTCCTCAAATAATATCAATTATAAATTATAAAACTTACAGTGTGTAACACTTTTATAGAAGGTCGTTTAAGCCATTTTCGATACTAAAAACGATATTGCTTTATCTTCTATTACAATTTTAATCTTACTGTCAGGTAAAATCTGCCCTGAATAAAAATATTGTCATCAAAAGATATTTGTTCTAAATCTTCAATGTTGAATTACAAAAATTCCAAAGTACGGAAACATTTCTGACATAGCCTGGTGAAGATACCGTTAATTTTTAATGTCAGGAGTTTGAATTTTCTCGGGGGAGCCTGCCCCCCCGAGAACGTGTCCCCAGGTGGCGGATAGGGGAATGCTCGCCAGTGGCAACGCTGGAGAGTAGGAGGGACATAAAATATCTCCCGCGAATCAACAGCCAGTCCCGCTGGGCAGCGGAAGAACGAAAGTCAACGGTGGCATCCTAAGCCCCAGTTAGCAAGGGGTTACTGTCTTGACTTCAGGTGGCAACTGGTCGTAAAATTACAAGCCAATTCACCCATCATGAAAGGCAAAGTTAAGAAAAAGGCGAGACCAAATGCTAGGGCGTCCACCTTAAGCGACGTGGATATGAAATGCGACAAAAATGCTAGGGCGTACCCCCGAAGCGACGAAAAAGTCGTGGGTGCACACCAATACAAACCTAAAATGGGAATAGCTACTTGGAATGTGGGATCCATGAGTGGACGCAGCTCAGAACTGAGCGAAGTATTATTTAGACGCAAGGTCAATGTTTGCTGTATTCAGGAAACCAAGTGGAAGGGGTCTAAAGCTCGAAGTATCGGAAATGGATATAAACTTATATATCATGGGTCAAGTACAAAAAAGAATGGCGTAGGTATAGCCATCGATAGCTACCTACAAGAACGAACTATAGAAGTCAAACGTGTTAGTGACCGTATCATCGCTATCAAATTTGCAATTGAAAACCAGCAATGCATCAACATGATATCAGTGTATGCACCACAGACAGGATGTAGTGACGCGGAGAAACAAACATTTTGGGATAATCTTAACGACCTAATGCAATCTTACCCGCTTGATGAAACAAAATATATTGCAGGAGACTTAAATGGACACGTTGGAATGGTCTCACCATGTCATCAGAGAGTACACGGCGGACAAGGATATGGAACCCAAAATGTTCAAGGCGTTGACATCTTAGTTTTTCCAACTTCCCACGACTTGGCAATAATTAACACTTATTTCCCAAAGCTCGACAGACACAAAATAACCTAGAAAAGTGGTAGTTTTAACCTAAAGGAAGCCCAACTTGATGTCTCGACCATCCAAGAAAGACCAACCTGGCGAAGAATGACGAGGAGAGCCGACCCCAAGTGAAATGGGAAAAGGCTAGGCAGAGAGAGAGGAGTTTGAATTTTAAACATAAAACCGTTGTCTTCATTTTAATATGTTTTGGTCATCTTTATTTTAATAAAACGCAGGTTTACAAGACTGTTGAAACAAGTAGTTGATGTTTTTAACATTTTCATCAAGGTTCTATTGCTAGGCGTTGTAATAAAACAGCAAATTATAGGCAGAATGTATATATTTTTTTGTATATAAAATTGCAGTTCTTTTCATACAATAGTGTACATTATAACACATTTCTCTATTATGTCATACTTATTAAATTGGTGTTCTTATCCTTATAGAAATGGTACAATTTAAGTATGTTACACAAAGTAAATAGAAATGCAATAAATTTGAGGCTGACATACCAAAAAATTTTGCATAGTTACAAAATAGCTCATGCAAATAAACTTCAAAGCAGCAAAAATTAATCTAATTGAGATTATTCAAGGTACATAATGTATTCTAGATTAGTGAACATCACTAGCCAAACCCACACTACTCTAAAAAAAACCATTAAATGGCCACCACTTGACAAATAAAAATTTACTAAACTAACTAATTTAATAATAAATAGGAAAACAAAACAAACTATATACAAACTCAGCCTCAAAAATACCTCCCTTTAATAAATATTGTTTGTGTCAATGTTAATGGCACATCAGTACAATTCTAGTCCATGAACATTGTCTCCTGGCTTTCTGACAACTTTTACTATTTCATAGTAATACTTATATATGTTTTATGTTCAAATTATAGGTTTAGTATATGTATTTCTTAATAATAATTGTAACAAATGGATTAACTCCAGATAGGAACAAAATAAACATGTGAAAGTATCAGTATTTATCCTATTTCATTAGTTATGAAATAAATAATAATATATCTCTATAAAATAGTGTGATGAATACTTAATATTATGGACAAGATGAGGCATTAATGAATTATATTTATAATGACAGGTTAGTTTGACTTAAAAGAAAATGTCGATAATAACTTAAGTGAGATAGCACACACTTCCATAGATGATTGGATTCAGTCTTGCATTACATTCAAAACATCTCTATATACAGACATGAGTTATACCTAATGATAACATCTGTATACACATTAGCTAAATACCATAGTTGAGTCCCATATTCAATACTTAAAAGTAATACAGAATTTACAATTTTACTATTAAAAATTTTATGACAGTTAGTATTTAAAGGTGCCCGCCCTTTATCTAGCACCCTGTACTAGAAAACAGATTAAAAATAATAGAGATTATTCTTTTAGTCATAATGCGATCACTTATGAACACTACATTATCTATCATTAATTCAATATTATCAAGGTGATATATTTTACTAATAGTCTAATATCTTCACTAGGCATCGTAGAGACGCTATTGGACTAAATGAAATACAGATCTGGAGTTAGATTGAGTATGGATACTCCCCAAGGTAGTCTATGAGTGTTGAGGGTAGAGGTAACAACCTATGTTTAGGGGCACACCATAGTTTAGGCGTTAGAGGATTTGAATCCAACGCTTTGTGAACCGCTAACCGTGCGCAGTGTAGGAGAGAAGGTGGTGATTTTCTTAATGGAGTCTTCAGAAGTACAGGTGAGTGTGGACATCCTTCTCGATCAACCCACACTGTACCGACGGGACCTCTTTCTCCGACTTGAGTGTAATGCTGCACCAGTTCCACAACGCATCTGAATCTAGGCATATACCTGGCAAGAGGTCTATCACAATCTAACCTGAAATAAAAAGTAAAAAATTTTATTTATACATATTATAAGTAGTAATGTTAATGCTGTTATGATTAATTACATTACAAGTTAAACAATCAAGAGAGCAATGACTCTCCTTATAAAGTAAACAAAGTACAAAAGAATGGAGTATTGAATATAAATAGTATTACTTGTAACTTGTGTGGTAAACAACTATGCACAATGGAATCCATGTAATATTTATATACATGTTTATTATAATTACAGTAGGTATGTAACCAAATCATATATTTATCACAGAAACATTTAATTATATATGCATACTATTGAATAAGTATGAGTTATTTATTGAATTAATTAGGTTTTAACTAAATCACTTTAAAAGTTATAATTATTTTAGTTAAGTAATGATAACAGTAGATTGAGGGTGCAACATAAAATATTGATTATATTTCTCATTTTTATAATTGAGGGATCTAATAATTAAGATTATCTGAATAGAGAATTTTATATATGATGCTTACCTAAAGGAACCTTGTTCATAATGTAGTCTTACAGAAGTTGGCCCTCTCTCAGTCTGAACAGATAGCGAGAATATAAAATTTCTATCTCCAGAATCCCGTATTACAAAGGCACCTATACTGGCATCTTTCAATAAACTTCGAGCCCCCTAGAAAAAAACATTAATTAGTATACAAAATCAGATTTTCAAATAAATAAAAATAATTAAAATATATTTAAACATGGATTATTGAAATAAAAAACCTTATATGTAATATAAATCAACAAACCTGCCAATCTAAATTTCCATAATACCACCCAGAAAGCCTTAAAGCTCTGAGTGTGTCAGCTAACCGTCGGAGCTCATCATTATATGGTGAGGTAATAACAGGAGGTGATGGTGCGGCATACAGTGGTGAATGTGGCAAGAACGAGGGCTGAATCGTGAATGGTGGTGTCAGCGGGCTGATTGGGTTCTGTGTTGTCTTGGTATGTGCCAGTGACACACGTAATTGGTGCCGGCAGTTGGGACAAGCAATGCCTGTTGACCAATTATTGAGCACCCCTCCCACCTCCACACATGCATCTGAAATGATTAAATTTAAATTTAGAACACTGAAATTGACAAATGAAAAACGACAAACTTTTTAATCATAAATTAGTAACATACTGATCTAAGTTTATTTTATTAACTGATATATTTGTGAATAATGTTCAGTGTAGATTTCAAACATCAAATTTATAGCCATTTCCAATTATTATACATACAATACACAATCTAAACTTGTTATTTTATTGTATGCTATAACTTAAATATAAAATAAAATTAATGTCATGAATAGCATTCTATAATAAACTTTAAATTACAAGGGAGATATAACCATCATAGTGTCAAGTGATAAACATGTATTTCTTATGAGAGATAAACATATTTTCAGAACTGAGTAAAATCATTTCTTATCACATGATAGTGATATACGCAAATGGCATGATGATAATAACAGGCACAAATATTGTAATTTTATATAGATAACGACTAGTTTCAATATAATATTATAGTATTTATAATATAAATACATTTTTTTGTGCTTTGGCGAACATATTAAAGTAATGTACATAATTTAAAAAACTCATTCGTAACTCACTTTGTGGTAAAACTCTCGTTGCTATAGTCATATTTAGAGGGTACAATTTTTTATCACGTCTTTCAATAAGGCACATTTGGCGTTCCCTTTTTGGTGGATAGTTATTTGTTTCACTAGACGCGTTTTCCGAGGCCACGATTTTATTACGAATCGTAAAAACGAACAGAAATAACCACACACACTAAGTCTGAGAATTCACTGTACGAATAGTTCTAAAAAATTAGGTGATAACTTCCAAAGTATTAATTGTTTCTAAGTAAAATTACGTTGGCGTCACACAAAACTGGTCACATCCATAGCCGTGACGGACTTGTGTTGGCAGAACAAACAATAAACCATAAACTTATAAAAAATTAAAACAACTCAAATTGAAAACGAAATAAAATATAATTAATTTAAAACTTTGTTCCGTAATGATGGACGTGTGGAAACTGAATAAAGAGAACGAGTAACGAGCAACAACTTAACTGAGATTCTCAAGTATCAACCGCGATTTCCGAACCTCGCATAAACTATGAAAAGTGGGGATATATGTGCGGACGTCGTCGACCATGAGCGAGCGAGATGGAAACAAGCTACATACAACTGATACGAAACGTTCACTACTTCCGAGAATTCATTCACCATCACCAACCAACAATAAAATCATCTGGTTATCGTTCGGCATTATTTATACATGGCACGCAATTCTACGTAATCTAACATACATGTCTATTTAAATCATACCAATCAATACAAATGAATTTATAACGAGACACGATAAACGCTAATGTTTTTTTAGGAATTGATATTTCAACTAATTAGATTCGCTTACGAGAAATCATTACGATTTTAAAACTTACAATTATCTGTGATAACCTGTTTCACAGAAACAAGCGAATGTTTTTTCATACAAGGTAATTTATAGACCGATATTTTACTTACTTTAGTATTTACTACGTTTTCTATATATTATAACTATAAAGCATATTATTCTAGTACCACAGTACATAACTGTTTAGTGTTTATTTTCTCTGGACATGAGCATAAATGAAAAGTTATAATATGAAAGATCAAAAAATGAGTTAATTTGTTGAATACTTATAAATATAATATAGTTGCTAAGGTAAAAATCGCCTCTATTATCCTAACACCATAAAGAACGAATTAATATCGTATTTCCTAGAAAACTCAATCACCAAACAAAAAATATAATTCTTTGACATACAATTCGTGACTTATACCAAACATATAACACATCATAGTTTTTCCTTATACAATATGTTAAACAATCGTTATCAGTTTGTTAATTCAATTCTGTACTATTGATATTATAATGAGAATACGTCAGTTGACCTTGACGCAAGCGATAGGATAACATTTACTTTTTATATAAACTCTTAAAGAAATCTCGTCATCTTTCTTAGTGTATTCAATATACAATATTACAATTTAAACCAATACAGTATATAAAACATGGACAGGAATAAAAGGTTCCACAAACGTATGACTATATACAGCCAACGCAAAATTTCAATTCGATTATTAAAGTAAATGCAATATTAGAGCATGCAGGTGTTTTAGTTTTCAATTCGTATTCGAAATTCGAACGCGCCATAGAAAGCCAGTTCCCCGTAGCGCGATTATATTTGGCGTTCTCGGAATCCCCTACCTGCGCAGCTTTCACAGCGATGAGCCATCTGCCGCGCGCGCAGTTGCACCCATTTCATACGCAGCTGCCATACACGTATTGTTATTTGGATTCAAATGTTTATAACGAATTAATATCTATAGAAACCATGGATGGGTACGTCACATCTGTCGCACGGAAAAATCCTTATACGATTTATCATCATATATCAAACTGTTAGCGTACAAAGGACTTGAACATTCCACTTAATGATAGCTGTATTTTATCATTGAAGGGAGATATTTTTTCATTTGTAATCACTTTTATTGCAAACATATTATTCTGTGGACTGTGGAGGTCACTATCATTTACGGTACTGAGCACACAATAATTTCTTAACACCGTTTCTCAGTGAGCTAATTATTAACTTGTACATCTATTCTCAGAATTAAGCACAGAATAACTTCTACAGAGATCCGTAATAATTATGTATGCATGAATTTAAAAAGTTAATGATAAGCAAGGAGTGCATCTTAAATATATATTTTTTATCTTTCATTTAATTGTATATAGATTATTTAATCTAAGATAATATATTTACCGGCTACTGGAGGCGCCATTACAATCTGTACTGATAACATGCGTTATTCACATCGAATTGAAAAAAGTTTGTCCGTCACTTTGACGTTTGTGATATATTTTTAATCTGTTTTCTCTCTAATACTAGCTTTCTACTTAAATTATTTGTACAATCCGTTTTTCTTTTTTGTTAAGATGTTGCCTTTTTATTAAAGAAATCATATAAATAAATGTAAAAAGTTAGTTACAATAATTAGTTTTAGTGATTTTTAAATATAGTAAAGATAATACACACAATACGAAATTACTTTGATTCGTTACATAAAATAATATAATATTTATTTTTTAAAACCAAAGTAATGATTAGTACAAAATCTGTCAAGTCTTAGTTATAATATTCGGTTGGGACTTAAAAAAACCTATCCTATGTAATCGACCTAATTTACAATTAGATCAACAAAACGTTTTCATGTAAACAGCGAAAAATCTGTTCATTTTTTCTTGATTTCAGTGCTAAAGCATCAAATACTTTAAAACTGTGTTAACTATTTCATAATATTATAAATATAAAGAATTCAATTTGAACAAAGGTAAAATGAAAAGAAATTTATTTTACAAGTTACTTACTAGTAATAGTAATTTATATGTAAGCATTAATTATAATGCATTATTGTATGAAAATATAAACTATAGTTTATTGTGTTTACAGTGAAAATTCTATTTATTGATAAGTTTCTCAAAGCAGTACTAATTCCACAAAAGGATACACCCACATTGTTCTGCGACCATTCTGTTATTGTTGCTAAGAAGTTTTCTTGAAATTCTTCAATGACGTTGTCATTCCGAGAACACGTTTTGTCTTGTTTTTGTGCCGCTAATTTATATACTCAGAAATGTGATTAAGGTGACTTTTTATAAATGTCGATTGTCTTAATCTTATCTATATAATATAATGTGATAATGTATTGATAGTAATAATTTCTTCTTAATAAATAATATAGATTTAAATGAGTGTCTCTATATCGGTAATCGGCTTTTCGTAGTAGGTGATTAAATTTTGCGTACAAATTATTAATTATCAATTGTCAGTTGCAATTCTATAGAACTGATTGGATAATGGAATAGTTTTATTTATATACATTAACCGGGAGTGAGTTTTATTTATAGTATCTATATATAAAATTCATTATAAACTTTAATATGACAACTAAAAAATTTCTAGCTTAGAGACATATTAATTTGTTGTCAAACTACATTATATATATATTAAGTATGTATTATTTTAAATTAAAATAAATATTAGCATTATAGTACAAATAATATAATATAAAACAATTAAAAGACATGTTAAAAGTAAAACATTCCGTTTGTTCTAAACGTTTCTCCATAAGTTCTTAGAACGAAAGCATTCTAAAAAGGTTAGTTGTTAGTTGCGTGAAAAGAAACGCAATGAGCTCGTGTATTAATGGCACAATACTAGGAAAATACGCGTCATACAATTACCGCGGTTTCTCTTGAACTGACTACAAGTATACTTAAAACTGACTCACAGGGCTAATATTGTCGGAGCTTTGTTTTATTTTTAAACGGCCTTGTTGTGAAAGCTACATGACATTCTACGTACCAACTTGCGTGTATAGTATATTGGAAAGATAAAAAAATATATTTCAATTTGTTGTTGGTTACTTATAGTTAATAATTTAGAAGCGGATGAGAATGTTAATAAGGCTTTTCTATTGTATCAAGCAAAAATACTCAACATTTTCTTAAGAAACAGAACCATCCTATTTTAAATATTATAAGGATCAAGTTAAAGTGTCCGTGAATTCCGGTTGCGCGGGCGACGTCGCGAGACACAGCTAGTGTTAATGAATAAAAGTGAAAGGTATGTACACTATTACGATTAATTCTTTTAACAGGATATTGAAGCAGGATTTAAATTTAAAATATTTAAATTTTTATGTTCTTTGTCACAGATTTTCTTAAATATGTCAAGTTGTTGAGGCTTGTTTATTTTTATTTTTAATTTCAGCAATTATTAATAGCGTTGCTTAAAATAGGCGGCCAAGTAATGCTCTAAAACATGTTTATATTGCTTTATATATTCTGCCAACGATATACTCTTCTCAAGTTCGTAGAATTCATAAAATTCAGAGCTCTACTTTTTATATAATTAAGTTAAATTATCTAAAAGTCTAAGATTTTTGTGCTAACATTTAAAAAATGGCCGAGCTATATCAAGTATCAACCTTAACAGATAGGTATTTACATTTAACCGTAATGAAATTTAAATAATAAAAAAGTTGTAATTAAGATAAAAATTGACAATTTATTACACGCATTAAATATTGCCATTATGAGAAAAGCCGTAATGACATTGTGATATCAGAGCTGGCAACATTTAAACTGTAGATACGTGGAAACAAATTCAGATGTTCCAAGAAAACCGTATCGATATTAAAGCCATTATAGCAATTTATATATATATATGTTTTTATGAGCTTGTTCGTAGAAGGACGCCTAATAAATTTTTGCATATAAAAAAATAATTACGTAGCAGAATCGATTCAATTAATCCGTTGGATTTCGATACATTTATTCGACTACCGTTTGTAATCGGTTCGTTATTGACGTGCTCGTCTTAGTATAAATGTATGTTAGTATACGTTAGATAAAAAAGAATTCAACTGTTTTTGCATACAAAAAAACTAATAGGTACTTTTTATATACATATAACTCTACATGCATTTATTAAGCTTTAAGTTATACCTTGAACTAAACATTTTTAAACGTGATATTTACAATAAAATGTCGAAAATCTCGAGCTTATTTTCTACGATTGTTAATTTTTTTTATAAGTTGAGTTATCGATAAAAATCGATGTATTGTTTACATTAATTTATAAATATTCCGCCGATAAAAATCAGACATAGGTTTTATAGTATACATTGTTTTACATTTTGTGTTTAAAATAGTTAGTTACCAAATAAGATTGATATAAAACTAGACAAGCGAATGCATATAAATATGATACAAGGCTATAATCCTTCTATTTGTAGAATAAAATATGAAAAATATACAAATATTTCGCAATAACTAGCCAACGTAGTAAAAAAAACAACTCGTTTATACGAAACGAGCTCATTGTCCAATCTAAAAAAATAATCCCCAATGTAAGCACACCAATTGTAAAATAAAATAGTTATGACAACTATGTAATGACAATTAATATTTATTTCAAACCTTATATTGTAACATGACTAAGGTTTAATTTTGAACGCAATTTATTACATCACATTTTAGTTGACATTCGACTATTTTCCATCAATTAATGACGGACGGAACGAGATCAAAATATCTGGCAATTTTTTTCTAATTTGATTGCTTGATTGAAATTGTTGTGGTATACGAAATACCTATTTTGAGTTCTTTGTAATGA